TTTGTTTTGTTCCAAAAATACTGCCGCTGCAGTCGGCTAGCCGCACACATTTTTCCTCCCAGTTGATTCAAACTAGAATAATTCTCCCCGTTGAGTTCGTGATGGTATCATGTCACCGCTTGGGCTCGACTGAACTCCTTGCCGCCCGTAAACGTTGGTGTGAGCTGCGAACATCACGCAGGGTTTGTTCGTCAACTGAGCGTCCGACTTAGTCCTGGAGTGAGTGGTGCAAGAAATCACCGCTGTCAATGGCTGCTTCCAGTACCTAGTGTAGCTGGTGACTGTTTTAGGGTGCGTTCTAGCGACCCATGCTCACAAGACGACGCTAGAGTAGAGGTTTTCTTTCTCCCTCTCCAAAGAGAAGGCTGCATTCGTATGTCGTGTGAGCTAGTGCGCACTACCCTGAACGGTGCAAATAGGTAAGTGCGCTGTTAGGGAAACGTTGGCCACGATCCCAATGGTCTACTTACAGGGCCAAAGGATGTGGAATTTCGGTACTGATTATTCACAAAGAGGAAATGTTCCTTTATAGCCAGCAGAGAGGACTCAACATAATAATTATTGCTGAGTCGGGTCGCATTTTCTTCGGGTATCGGGTTCGGGTAGTTTTCCACGGGTAGCACGGGTACCCGATCGGGTAATAGAGAGGTTTAGATGCATGTTATTTCCTACAAGACGCGCAATTTCATGTCAAATTTGGCGTAAAATTCCAACTTTCGACGTCAGCTGCAGGTCACTCGCGTTTTTCGATGTGCGAGCCAAATAACGCGCGCTGAACTTTCACGTCATGTCAGAAATAGCGTGCATCTTAACCTCTCTAATGTTTCCATGGTAGCACCACCTCTTCCCTTACACACTGGGTAGACATAGGAAGTATTACATGAATGTGTACACGTGCACTCTATAGGCACCGGCGGATTCTGCTCGAAACGCAGTAAAATTGGCCTCTGCTCGCTTGGTCACTGCGAATTAAAACGAAAGAGCTTGACAGCTCAAGGCCCTCGCTATGCTTTTTTTGCCTAGGTCATCATGCATGTTATTTGAACTGATGGAAATATTTTTGCAATACAATAATGTAGGCGATGATCTGATGATAGTATTGCAAAGAATGTTTCCATCAGTTATGCATGATGGCCTAGGCAAAAAAGCATAGCGAGGGCCTTGAGCTTTCAAGCTCTCAGTCTCTCGTTTCATTTTTTCAATTCTTTTTAACACATAACCTGGGATTCGAACCTGAACTTTCGCCCTGCATACATTCCCTCGATACACTTAGCAGACATACAGATTCTCCCAAGTTGCTTCACTTTGTGATCCTGCAGTTGAAAGTCCTATATCAACATGTGACCAGCAGTCTTTGCCCGCTTGTGTGGGACATGAACAGGATAATCGATAGGGCCAGGCAGGCATGATGCGTCACGTGATGACGGCCCTACCGACCGAACACGGACAAGTTAGTTCGAGCATGTTGAAGAACGAAGATCAAGTCTTTTCTCCTGCCGACTGGATGCCTGTTCAGCGGGTTTTTTTTGCCGTCGACTCACCCTGTCACGAAGTCGGCGAGTCTCCAAATGACTCCTAACGACGGGATCTTTGCTCCGTCGTTTCTTGTTGTCGTCATAGCCGTAACCAGGGTGGGACAATTCGAGGGCTGCTTGAGCGACACCTTCAATGTGGTAAACTTCTCTCGTTGTATTCTCTTCTATTTGTAGTACAACGAGTCACATGATCTGCCAGAGACGGCGTCTCTTCCGGGCCTGACTCATGATCGAATCGGGACATAAAACTGTCGATGGAAGCAAATAGGGAGCATACAACTGATGTCTTAATTGCTATTGAATAGATTACCGAGTTGACTGGCTCTGAATCCTGCGCTGATATGCGCATCATATGCGCGGTAAAATAATGGGCGTGGGTAATGTCCAGGAAAAAGATTGCCAATGGCATGGTGTCTGTCCTAGGATCTAACTGCAGTTACCACACAAAACACACACACGCACACACATACACGCACACGCACGTGCACAAAACCCAGCTGTGCTACCAATGTCTATTCCAGCCATTCCCATATGTTTGATTGTGCATGTGTTTGTGTGCGTGTGTGTGTGTGTGTGTGTGTGTGTGTGCGTGTGCGTGTGCGTGTGCGTCTTTGTATGTATTTGTGTGTGTGCATGTGTGTTTGTGTTTGCAATCAACAGAACTTTCGGCTCATTCGGCCTCCTGACACAGCTAACACGCTGGTAGCAACCACCGTCTGATCCACTTGCTCCGACTAGCTTTGCTCAGGCAGCTGCTATCACAATGTCCAGCACCGGAGAAGAGATCGCTGCCACAGCAGAACCGGGCGCATCGGCACTGGCATCACAGGATGGTGTGCAGAGCAACCCTGCAGATCAACTAGTCGAGGTGTGTGCACAGTCTGTTCACTAGTGTCAGCGGCGTACCTAGCTCCCACATCTCTGGTGTGGTAACCATGTGCCACCGGCAACCTCACAGTTACCATTTTGTCTTCTTTAAGGCTACATCTTTTCAACCCTTTCAGTGCCGCAAAAATGACCCCAAGGCCTACTTTGGGAGTGTCCCCAACTGATAGATGTGCTGTAATGGTCAATTTGAAAGATGCAATGTGTGGACAGTGCTTCTATGGAGCACTGGTCTGAATTTGAGCCCAATAGCTCATATACATGTAGATGTGTATGTAGTCACCATCGACTGAGCGGGAGTGGTTTGCCCCATTCTCTAAGTACAAAGTTTCGTTTGGAATTGACTTTCGCTACACTCGTTAAGAGGTACGAAATAACTAAAGTTTTTTTCCTGAACGTTCGGAGTGACAGACCTCGACCAAAAACGAAATTTAGTACGCAACGAACCTGCTGGTGGAGTGGTCTAACGAAAGATTTCGTAAACGAAATTTGTGCTAACTTATACAGTATGTAGTACGTATGGCGGTTATTTGCTGGTATGCTTACCGGACTACGCTGACTATACACGAGCTGCTGTAGAACGGCTAATTTTAGCGCCGGTGATATTTTACCTCTAGCCCTGTGACACTGGACTGCAGTGTGGTGTACTGTAAATCCACAAATTTCCGGCACATTCAAATGTCGGCCTCCCGAGGCTGAAACCCATTTCGGCCGCATCAAATTGTTGGCCGCATCGAATTTTTGGCCTGTTCTGCTGCCGCCGGTATACACTGTCACACTGAACATTGGAAAACAAAATTTCGGCCACGACAAATTTTCCGCCAAACATGACCAGGCCGAAAATGGCCGAAAATGGCCGAAAATAGATATGCGCCGAACATTTTTTTTTTTTTTTTTTTCGTCGGGAGCCTCAACAGTGATTTGTTGACTTACAGTAGGACACTAACTTGACTCGCGCGATTGGACATCATTGAGCATCACTGTACCGATTGACTCCTGATAACACGCTGCTGTTGTTTGTGTTCAAACCCCAGTGATGACTATCCAGTTAGGCCGATGGATTTGTTTGGTTTGCCCAGTGCCGCATTCTTCCCTGGCTGTGTGCATGTTATGTGTGGCTGTGTGGTCCCCCCCCCCCCCCCCGGGTTGCATGCATGCTGTGTGTGACTACATGCTTAACTGGTTGTCTTCATATAATGTGTGGCTGGATGCTTCCCTGGTTTTCTTCATATCATGTGTGGCTGGATGCTTCCCTGGTTGTCTTCGTATCATGTGTGGCTGGATGCTATCCTGGTTGTCTTCATGTTATGTGTGGATGCGTGCATCCCTCTGGGTACCGTGTATGCTAGGTGTGTCTGTGTGCTTTCCTGGCTGCACGCATGCTATCTGTAGCTGCACTTCCCTGGCTGCACGCATGCTATCTGTAGCTGCACTTCCCTGGGTGCATGCATGTCATGTGTGAACGATGCTTCCCTTGCAAGAAAGCTGCTCTCAGCTCGTGTAAGCTGTGTATGCCGCCTAACACAATACTCTATGTGTACATCTCGTTGCCAATGCCCCGAGTGTAGGAGAACGAGTCTTTGCAAGCACGGCTTACCACTACTAACGCTGAACTGGTACATTCCTCGGCAAGACTGAGAGAAGTCGAACATCAACTGGAGGAGCAGGAGAAGATTTATTCAGAGTGAGTTTAGCCCCCCCCCCTCCCCCCTCCTCCTTTTCTTCCTCATATTTCTCCCTGTGCATGCTTCTGCTGCTGCCTTTTTTTTACCTCTGCTGGTGCTGCTGTTGTTGGCACTGCTGCTGCTGCTGCTGTTGCTGCTGTCGTGCTGGTGCTGCTGCTGATGTCGTTGCTGCTCCTGCTCCTACTACTGCTGCTGCTGCTGCGTGCTGTTGCTGGTGGTGGCGGTGCTGCTGCTGTTGCTACTGTGGTTGCTGGTGCTGCTGCCATGCTGTTGCTGCTGCTGGCGCTGCTACTGCTGGTAGTGCTGCTGTTTCTACTGTGATTTCTGTTGTTGCAGCTGCTGCTGCTTCCGTTGCTGCTGCTGCCGCTGCTGCTATTTCTGTGGCTTGTCTTATCACCGTGGTAGATTGTTGTGCATTGTACTGTACACACTGCGGTGCATACGCTCCAGCCTGTGTGCCTTCATCTGTAGGACATTACACTATTAGCTGTGTGTGTGTGTGTGTGTGTGTTTATAAGAGGATGAGAATGTTGTTTCATGCTCCGCTATGTTCACTGTCTCTTTCTCTCTCTCTCTCTCTCTCTCTCTCTCTCTCTCTCTCTCTCTCTCTCTCTCTCTCTCTCTCTCTCTCTCTCTCTCTCTCTCTCTCTCTCTCTCTCTCTTTCTCTGTGTCCTGTCTCTGGTCGCCTGTAGGGCTGCTGCAGACCAGCAGAAGGACTACATTGCACAATGCGACAGCTTGAAAGCGGACATCGCCTCTCTGACGTAAGTGATTAGAAAGCAGATATTCCCGACGCTCTGACATAAGCAGTTATTAACGATAGCCGGTGTGGATGTCGGGCTTATTGTATTTGCAGCATGAGGCTGACAAGCAAATAAACAACAACAACAACAACAACAACAACAACAACAACAACAACAACAACAACAACAACAACAACAACAACAACAACAACAACAACAACAACAACAACAACAGCAGCAGCAGCAGCAGCAGCAACAGCAACAACAACATCAACAACGGATCAAGGCATTCTATTCTAGCCGTTGTTGTTGTTTTTTGCTTGTTGCTATGGTTCTGACCCCTGGGGTTAACCTTAGCTCTCTGTACTTATTTGGGCTCCCGACTCTGTTATGCGACTCTGTTATGCGTACACTGCTGTTTCAGTTACGACCGTATGTGTACAGCCATGTACGCATAACAGAGTCGGTATATTACTACTTGTACAAAACCCAGAGTGTGCAGCTTTTGACCGTTTCTGAATGCACAGTAAAACCTGTGACTAACGACCACCCCTTGGGGCCGGAGAAAGCGGTCTTTAGTGGCAGGTGGTCTTTAGTTAGAGGTTTGCACCGCACAACCATAATATGAATGTGAGACCGTCCGTGCCTGGCGAAGTGGTCTGTAGTACCAGGCTGGTCGCTAGTCACGGTGGTCTTTAGTTACAGGTTTTACTGTAGTACCAGGCTGGTCGCTAGTCACGGTGGTCTTTAGTTACAGGTTTTACTGTGGGTGTCTGTCGCGGCAAATGTTCATATTTGGTGCCGATCTGAGGCGGGAAGTGGTGTAGCACGTACAACTCAGCTACAGTTGTGCAGAAAGAGACCTGCAGTGCTGGAATCCTGCTTGTACGCACTACAGCACAAAAATTGTAATCACGGAATTTCGCTGTGACAGCAACCCATCGGAGCTGCACACTCTGGCTTTCATGTACTATTGTCTTTACTATCAAGCGTTTCAATTTCGTGTGTAGCTTCAGTATACGTACTGTTGTTTGCCCTTTCTACTCAGGTCGCAGCTGACTCACCTCAAGAATGAACTGAGCTCTGCGCCGGTTACCGATGACAACCGGCCAGCAACCCCAGCGGGTACGAACGTCACGGACGGCCTGCAAAAGGTACTCTTGCCTGCTATGTGGTTCGGTAATCTTCAGCATTGGTACGCTGCCGTCACTACAATCTTGAGTTTTGACAGCTGATTCTGCCGGTTTTGATCACGATTCGAATTCATACTCATAGTGGCCTCTTGGTCCATTGCCTTCGGGGAGCCATCAGACACCTGATCATGCAAAGATAGGCCAAGGAAGATACTGAAATGGGTTTCCCTAATTCCAGAAGTGTGCAGACAAACCTCCCCTGTAATAGCAATAAGGACGTTTAGCAACGCGAAAGTTCGAAAGAAAATTCGAGTCTGGGAATGAGTACAGAAACAAAGCTCGAAACTTCGAAAACTTGGACGCGAAGATGCAGTGATTTGCGAAAGTAACTTTCTCTTTTCTCGGTACGCATTTGACTACAGGAAGTAGTAAATTTACAGCCCCTGCTTGAGACTGAGCTGCATATACGGTACGGTACTATAAGATTCAAATAACTTCGAGAAAAAGTCACTTCGCATTGCTAACCCTCACAAGTTTTCTTTTTCAAAATAGATTTTCGCGAAATATCACCGTCACCAAAAGTTCGAATTTTCGCATTGCATTCCTTGATATTCCTTAGCCGTGTTTCTTGTTAAGTTTGTGAGCTGAACATGCCCTCTCCGAGCCTCGGCAGCAGTGTTTGGCCTGCCCGCAGAGCCAAAGTGTCTCCAGTAAATGAACGATGACGCCGTGTTGTTGCTTGTGCCTGCGCTTAACTGTACAGATCCAACGCGTCTTCAAGGTAGTGTTAGTTGGGGACAGCGGTGTGGGTAAAACAACGTTCATACGTCACCTGTGTCTCGGACAGGAGGCAGCCAACGCTACTTCGTCGACAGTGGGTGAGTGTCTGGGCCAGTGTTGGAACGATTGTCATCCTTTCTCTTAGAAGGCCAAAAATCATGGTTCACATAGAGACTCGATTAGACTGAGCTTTCAGCATCCGTACGAACGCCACACCACCCCCTAGGATCGAGGTGCAGGTGCAGCTCCTAAAGCGGTGGGAGGTGAGTAGATCAGACCCACCACAAAATGGCCAACACCTAGAATCCCCTTCTCTGCATCCTTGAACGCAAAGCTGGAGTATTATCCTTCTCATACAGAGAGAAGGCATCCTGGGAGCAGGTGTATTTTGCACAATTTTGCACTTGCTTGTGTGCTTGACGGAGAGGATACGCCTGTGGGAAACGGAGTTGAATGTTGGTTGTGAACGATGAGGAGTGAGGGTCACTGATGTGTGTAAAGGATGGAGGGGGGGGGGGGTAGGTTGTAGCACAATCAGTAGACTAGATCATGCCATGACGTGATGTGTAACGATACCAACTAATTATTTTAAATGCCGTCTTCCAGAGTGCGAACCACAAGTCTTTTCACAACTCAACATTTGGGCCAAAATGGCGGTGGATGATTGTACATCGAGCGCCTGTTTCCTTGGTTATGCTTATGAAATGGAATGTGAGATGTATCCCCAGGACGGGGAAGGGGGGGGTGATACCTCTGGTCAACACTGATCCAGAAAGTAAAATGCCACCGTGAAGAAGCCCATGTGCCTTAAATGCGTGTGTGTGTGTGTGCGTCTGTACGTGTGTTCAATTCAATTTCAATTCCCGACGATTATGGTCACACACGTCTTTCTTCTCTTTCTCGAACTCTTCCTGACTTTTCTTTCATTCTCCTGGGTGGTTACCAACAGCCAGTGTATGCCGGAGTATGTGGTGTGGCGTGTGTGTAGAAAAAGAAAAAAGAAGAAAAAAATGGAAAAATGAAAAATAGGGATTCACTGGCCAGAAAAAGTCACTTCAATCAGCTGTGTGGTGGATACCAGGCTAAACATAGTGGCGGTCAGTTCATCAGCCTTGCAAGCTGTTGAATGGTGTGATCCCAGCACAAGTTGCCATGTCTAATATAGCTGTTCGCTATCATCGCTTCCGCGATGGGCAGGTCTGAGGTACGTGTGTGTGTGTGTGTGTGTGTGTGTGTGTGCGTGTGTGTGTGTGTGTGCGTGCGTGCGTGCGTGTGTGTGTGTGTGTGTGTATGTACACATACAGGAGTGGATTTCTACACAAAGCTTATGACTGTCCAGGGCCAGTGCACGTCGCTAAAGATCTGGGACACAGCTGGAACTGAACGGTATGTATTTGTGTGCATGCGTGCGTGTGTACATGGGATGCGTGCATGTGTGTGTGTGTGTGTGTGTGTGTGTGTGTGTGTGTGTGTGTGTGTGTGTGTGTGTGTGTGTGTGTGTGTGTGTGTGTGTGTGTGTGTGTGTGTGTGTGTGTGTGTGTGTGTGTGTGTGTGTGTGTGTGTGTGTGTGTGTGTGTGTGTGTGTGTGTGTGTGTGTGTGTGTGTGTGTGTGTGTGTGTGTGTGTGTGTGTGTGTGTGTGTGTGTGTGTGTGTGTGTGTGTGCTCAGGTAGAATAAGGACACTTTTCTGGTGCCGCTGTACTTCGAGATCATGGCTGTGATCGCCATGGTGATATTTGGTCGATGTCATGTGATCGGCGTGATCTGCGCGTACGCGTGATTGAAGCGCCATGCATCACGAACCAAACTACTACGTAGCTGGGAACGCGCACGCGCATGCACGCCAAACAGTTTTCTGCTACACCTCGTGTTTTTGAAATGCAGATTTTCAGCTAGCTGGATCGCGATCGGGAGACGACAAAGAAGAAACGATCTTGTTGTGACTATACTTTGCGCTTGTCGTCGACAACAGCCTTTGTCATTGACATTGTTGTTTGTCTTTTGAGCGTCCACTCTGGCCAACTCCTTTTTTCCTGAACCGGGTTCCACTGCTTCTGGGGTGTTCGTCTCGCAACCAGTAGCACCAACATAATCTTCTTTTGAGTAAACATGTTCAGCCATCTGCTGCTGTGTCGGGAAGGATTTGGAGGAGTATTGCTGGTCGTATGGACCTGGAGCAGTGGAGGCGATGTCGTGAAGAAGGTACGATTTATTTTATTGTTTGTGGGCTTGTTCGTTCTTGCCTTCATTGTTGCGAGGTCTGCAGCTAAGTGGTACATGTTTGTAGATCGGCTATTTGTGTATGTTCTGTAGATAATGTCAAAGAGATAATGAACTACAATGTTACGTTGTATATGGAGCCATTCGGCACAGTGATCTTGTATACTAAAGGTATAGAACTGCCAGGCTAGAATCTATCCCCTTGAATTGCGCGGACAAAACTTGAAAAAACAATCGTGCAAGCGCCGCCATATACAGGTAGTTCAAGCAAATGCGCCACCGAATCGTACAGCTGAGAACATCTCTTCAGATCAGGGCAGGGAATAGCTGAACTTTACTACTCCCTGCTTCAGGCAGTCTACTATAATGTAGTCTGGTCTTGGCACATCATCTGCAATCTAGTCCTCGGCATCACCAGGATTACCAGTACAGCTGTAGTGTGTGTACAGCTAGCAAGTGATAGCTGTGAATCGACGCACGTACGAGTACTCTGCATACATGTACACCACTGCTACACTACAGTCCATTCATAAAAAGATGGGCGGTGTCTCTAGTGAGCTCCCGTATTTTGTTATCATTAGGGACCTTTCGCACCCCGCTGACGGATACGAAACGAATGCTGATTCGTCACCTGGGTTCGAGGATTCGTCAGAGTCCCTGCGGAGAACTCGTTTTCACGAATGGAGGCCTCTTCATTCGTGGCACGCTCCGAATCCGTCAGGTACACATTTATTTGGATAGGTACACATGTTTTGCAAGGTACACATTTTTCCCTTGATTCCATGATCCATGCACGTGTGCGTGTAAAAACCCGTACGCCAAGCTACCGGCGCCCGCGGCCGTATTCGTAGTTGCCATGCACATTTGCATGACGACTTGCGAAACCTGAAATCTGTTTTCAACGAAACGATTACGAGCCGAATCAAACTTTCGTTTCGCATTCGTTTCGTAGCAAATGCGAAAGGTCCCTATTCATGATTTTATCCTGCACGATGCAGTGCCGCGAAATTTAAACAAGGGCTATAAAAAGGTACCTCGCCTGGAGTTCGAGCTGCACAATGTACTGTTGCACGTGGAGTGAAACGGCCTGGACTTTCATGGTTTTGCCCAATTCATTGCTTTTACGACAAAACCTGGCTGCAATCCTACTGTAAGTCAACAAGTATTTGGCGCAGATATATTTTCGGCCTGATCACATCGGTATTTGGCCGAAAATTTGTTGCAGTCGAAATTTTGTTTTGCAAGGTTCAGTGTGACAGTGTATACAGGCAGCAGCGGTACAGAGAGTACAAGAGTAACTCTCCATCACTGTAACATGATACTATATACAGTCAGAAAGTGCAATAACTAGGCACAAAACTGACAGAGTACTGAAACATTCGACGTTCTGACACCTAGCTTCAACACATCTCCGTAGCGCTAACCGACAGCGTTCCAACTTGGAAGGTTCAAGGTTATGGAAAGACCAAAGAGGGGAAGGCGAGCGCAACGAAAGCGAGCAAAAGCTACAGTCCCAACGGAACAAAGAATGTCGATTGTTACGGGACGATGACGAGACCAGTACGATATTTGACAAAGCGGTCTAACTACAATTCGAAGCAGCAAAGCAGCACACCACCCACCAGTTATTGCACTTTCTGACTGTGTATAGTATCATGTTACAGTGATGGAGAGTTACTCTTAACACGTATCCATATGTCCTTTTCTCTTCTACATTTATTTATGGCTCAACATCCGAGTTTCAAATTATTATTATTATTATGCACTTACGCGTCAATGTCAGCGGTGGTAAACCGCCCACAAATTCGCACGTGCTAAATGGACTTGGGAAATGAGCACCGAGCATTCGGTGCGGCATGGAAATAAAAGAGCAACGACAACAGATTCAGTTCCTAGCATGCAAAAAAAGTGCAGGTCCGTGAAATCCTCCCAGATATGCAACTACTCTGCCTTTTCTTGTCTTCTTTCAGGTTGCGTTTTGCAAGGAAGGAAGTTAATATTTGAACTAGAAGGTGCGGGCTAGTGACCTGAAGCAGTAGCAGAAGAGTACGTTACTACCCGTGAAGCAGAGTGTTTTCCTCGTGACAACCCGTGCGCGGTCTCTGCCTACAGCGGGATGTCCGCATATACGCTGATGTTCGGTCCTCCACCTTCTTCCACCATACGATTAGTAATATTACTACATGTATTAATAGGTCGCGGCACAGAGTTATGTCTTGTCTCATGTCACCATCTGTGCATACGCGGTTCGTGCATACTCGCGTGCTCGCGCGAAATGAACAATGTGATCCATATGTGCATGCAACCTACCCTTATTCATACATGTACTGATAGTGTAGTCAGTTCTGTGGTTAGTTTTCTGTTTCGCAAGTGGAAACAAGTTTTAGTTTGTTTTCCTCTGCTCGAATGATGTGTTTGTTCTTGCAATAAGTCCTTCCGAATAATACCTTTCTCCTTGTCTGAGTCCTGTTCCATCGTGTCTGTTATGAGAGTCAAGTGACTTTATTAGTAAGGGTTGTGACAGCCCGGATGGCACGAAATTACGAGTCCAGTGATCCGACATTCAGAATGTCGGATCACTGGACTCGTAATTTCGTGCCATCCGGGCTGTCACAACCCTTACTAATAAAGTCACTTGACTCTCATAACAGACACGATGGAACAGGACTCAGACAAGGAGAAAGGTATTATTCGGAAGGACTTATTGCAAGAACAAACACATCATTCGAGCAGAGGAAAACAAACTAAAACTTGTTTCCACTTGCGAAACAGAAAACTAACCACAGAACTGACTACACTATCAGTACATGTATGAATAAGGGTAGGTTGCATGCACATATGGATCACATTGTTCATTTCGCGCGAGCACGCGCGTATGCACGAACCGCGTATGCACAGATGGTGACATGAGGCAAGACATAACTCTGTGCCGCGACCTATTAATACATGTAGTAATATTACTAATCGTATGGTGGAAGAAGGTGGAGGACCGAACAACTGATGTGTATGGGGCAGGCTATGAAGAGTGGTCCGGCACATACAGGCGTGTCAAAGAAGGTGAGTAGTGGTATTGTACTTCTGTCCGAATGGGTTACGTTACGATCTGTGAATTGGTCATCCAACGACCTTAGAAACTGGTAGGATCTGTTTACACTATGTAATAATTATGCCCTGCTAGTGTGCGGCAATTGCTGTGAGTGCAGGTGGAATCCTGATAATTCGAACACCAAAATGCCGGGGGGAAAGTTCTTCCGGACATTCTAATTATCCAAACATGTACGACAACACATTATGTATGTCAAGATGCTCGCATTGACACGCAGAATGGCACTACACACCTTAGACACAGATTTAGTGGACAGCGAACTGCCTGCGCATGCAAACCAAACTGATTTGAGGAAAATAAAGTGAACTTCTAAGGGTGCGTTCTTATATTCTCTAGCTTCTAGAAGAAGAAGAAAAGAGAAGTCGAAGAAACTGGGATTATTCAAGAACGGGTCTCGAAGAATTCGGAGATATTTTGCACATGTCAAGCAAAATGAAGCCCCAAAGGGGCCGCGATCTTGAGTGATTAATGTAATATGCACGTGCGCGTATGCGAAAAGGGAAAATCGGTCCCGGAAGAGACTTCTAATTGAGCAGTATGTTCTAATTAAGCCATGTTCGAATTATCAGGATTTTCCCTGTATTAAAAAGGATTATTAAAAAAGGAGTCAATGGTATATTCTATGTGACACTAGCATCCACACAACTTGAAGGTCCGGCGGCAGCATTGTGTGTACTATAGTATGCATTATTGTTTCTTGTTGGAAACGCTGATCAAGACTACATCTAGTAATATAAAGGCAGATAGTGCAATTGTTTCAAAGAGCTGTTGTATTTGTTTCAAACATTTCCAATGTCTGATATGCAGGCAAATATTTGAAAAATGCTACAGTTCCTGTTACAGCACGACAGGTCATTCATATGCACATGCAAAAGAACTGATGGTTTCGGGGGTGATAAAGAACATGATTATACTCGTGACTGAGCATCATTGTCATCAGACGCACTGTTTCAGTTTCAGAGTGGTGGACAAGAGTTGCTGTGTAGCTTATTAGGCAGCAGAAAAATGCATTCTGAAGCAAACTGACGAACTGTAGCAACCCACAATGTTGAAAAGCAGCATAATGCTGCCATTCCCAGTTCTAGCTGGTATACTGTGAACATTCAGATTGATTAGAGTGGTATTTTCCATACCTTGTACACGAGATACTTTGCCCACTTGTACCTCTCCCTTTCCAAACCTGTTTGCCGTAGTTGCTTGAACGAATTGGTAACCTGCTGTTTCAGACATTTCTCTGCTGTGTGGTATGTGGCTAACTCACATGGAGACAGTCCAGAACCCGTTTTCGCTCTAGTTTTAAGCCGGTCCCAGTCCTCAAGTGTGCTAGTTTTTCCCGTCACCTTCTCAATTGCGTTGGCCAGTTTGCTAGTGTAGCTCCCACCGGAAGAATTCGGGACCTGATCCATCACCAACAACAGTGTTGGTGCCTCAGTCTGCTCATCAGTGGGATGTGGCTGTGCCGTAGCTTGTGGCTGTGCCGTAGCTTGTGGCTGTGCCGTAGCTTGTGGCTGTGCCGTAGTTTGTGGCTGTGTCGTAGCTTGTGGCTGTGTCGTAGCTTGTGGCTGTGCTGTGACTTGCGTCTGGGTTGTTGGTTCTGGCTGGGTAGTGGAATGCACGTCGTTTCTTGGAGGAACCTCGGGCTGGGTGGCCATACATGTATGTGGCTCTGCGGCTGGTGGCTGCAGGTTAACTGGAAGACCCACACCTTCATCCAGAATCCGTTGCCACGCTCTTGCATTTTCTTCCTCTGCATCTTCGATTGTTGCTGCGCGGATGTGCTGAAGATGTGGGCCTTCCGGTCTGGTTTCCTGGTCGTCTGGGCCATCATGGAATATGATTGCGTTGTCATGCCCATGCCACCACACTCCCTCACCTTTCTCCAAGAACCGAGCGATTGTCGTCATCAGGGCAATGAAGTCGGGTCCCAGGTTGTCTCGGTTTACAATAGTAGCCCGGGAAGGCTTGAGCTGTCGAGCACTTTTTTCAATACTGCTTGTCTGCTTTTTTTTTGTGCTGGTTCTTTCTCCCTGCAGGCGGATTATTATCTCCCTGGTAATTTCCTGAGGCCTTCTGCTTGTGGTGGCAAGGGCAATTTGGCGAGCTTGCCCTTGCACCCTCTCCAGCGCCTCCGTGTTGCATGCTCTCAGGTTCACGACCGCCAGCTGCTGAGGAGCGTGGAGAAGATCATGGAGGTAACCTCCATATAATGTGTCTACATTTATTTTTGGTTTTGTTATAACTTTTTTTAGCAGGCCAAAGTGGCGCCACAGCACCAGTGACATGTGTAGAAGTTGCTTGGGGCTTCTGTCCTGCTCCCCCGCATAGCAGATCCGCGTGATCTCTGTCATGCTCCGTAGCAGCTGTTTCACGGAGGTTGGGCAGTCCTCCTTTCCGTCCATGGCTGCATGCAGTAGTACAGCAGCATGTCGCCAGTCACACCCTCGGCTGTGTTGTCGCCCAACCTGGCTGTCCACAATAGAGTCATACATGTCCTTGACTTGTCCGCTGAGGGTGTGACTTACTTCTTGAATCACATGTGCCAGGTGGCCTTTTACATCGTGCAGCGGTTCGGTGGGGAATATGGTGTAGTCTTCTAATGCGTGCTGGGCAATGTCGGCAGTGGGGTTTAAAGCGAGAAGAGCTGGCACGCGCTGAACACCACGGAGTACATCCTTGAGTGTCGACGTGGTGCTCAAGTGTCTGGCTGCCAGCTCTTCTCGCTGCTCCTGCTGGTGCAATTTTGCCAAATTGCGGCCTGGCACTTTGCCGTATTTTCCCGCCGTAGCAAAACTTTGGAGGGTCTTCACTGACGGCACTGGTCGGATGTTGTCTTCATAGTTTGAAATTGAATCTGACTTGACTCCGCATCCACTTCCGCACTTGTAGTGGCTTCTGCCAGATCGGCTAACACCTGCCTCAAACCAGCGTGCCGCCATGTCGCCTGTAAATCCCACCAACTTGTCGACAATGGGGTCTCCACCGCTAGTTGGAATTGGGACTGCAGCCACATGTAGGTCTACCAGCCTGTCCGGGATGAGTTTCAGCTGATCGACCTCTGAACACCCGGACAGAGCCAGTAAACGTACATGTGGTGCTTCCACCAATGACTGCACTTTTCCATCTTTGTCAGAAATGTGGATAGCCGGGTCATAAACCACCTGTACAGTTTCGCACAGCATATTGTGCCCCAGCACGTCAGCATGGTCATTGCTGATGATCAAACATCGTGTGTGGTGGCACTTGTAGAGGACATTGATCAATTCCGCTGTGCTTGTATTGTCGTTGTAGACTTGGCCGATCTCCTTCAGCTCTTTCGCCACATCCCCTCTATTCATCTTGCTGTATTCGTCTTTTGTTCTGTTGTTCTCCTTCATCAGGCCAGCAGCCTCGTGCTCCTTCAGCAGCTTCTCTCGGAGAGCCAGCAAGGGCAATTTGCGGCCTTTCACTGCAAGGTGAGTTTCAGAAACTATCCCATTGTTATTAATTTTTTGCTTCACAAGCACGCACCCCTCGCACTCCTCGCCTTCCAGCAAGTCGTTCTTTTCCACTTTGTCCTGAATTGCCGCTTTCAGGCGCTGGCTGGCCATTTGCTGCGGAAAGCTGATTCCATTCGTGAAGCGTTTCCGCTTTCTCCTTGCGTGCTGCTGCCGTGGTGGAGAATGTTGCTGAACATCAAATCCTTCCTCTTGCAGGAAATCCTTAACGATTTGGCCTCGATTTGCACTGCCAACACCGTGCTTTGTCGCAAGGGCAGTCCAGTTAATGTGTTCTCCTGCTGCAGTTGTTCTCGCATCTTCAAGGAGGGCTTCCTTGTCAAATGCATAGCATGTGGGCGTGTGTTTCCTTTTTCTAGGATTGCGGGCTTGTGCCGATTCTTTTGTCTCAAATGAACGGCGCATGCGCTGTCGCTCCATGGCAGCAAAGCTGGTTCTGTCTCCCAGGAGAGTGTTCACATCCTCCTGTCCCCATTGTGCTTCGAGTTCGTTCACCACCTGTCGTGTTATTTCACGTTGGTTGGTTTTAGTAACGGGCTGTATTCTGTTTTCCTTTGCACAGGTTTGGACGGGCACTTTTCTATAGGCGCCACGGGTACTTTGCAAGGGGAAGCAGGCATTCCACTCCTGCTTGGACCAGCACCCATTGCAGTCCTCTACGCTGTGGCGGTCTTTTTCACCGGTCCGCAGCTTCCTCCAGCTCTCCAGTCGAAACATGTTGAGGTACTCTGCTACGGACTTTGCACGCCATCGACGCTGCATCAGTGCAGCTAGCCGCTGGCTTGACCTGGCAAACTTTTCCTTGGACATGTCACAGCCGAAGAACTGAGTGAACGCCCGGTGCCGCTCGTTCAGCGTCAGCTTCTTGTTCTTGTGCAGTTGGTACATGTGCGCCCTGGCATAGTGACATCTTATTGTTTCTGCCATGGTGCTGCCTGCAGGTAACAACCCGTGCGTGTGCGCGCATTCACATAAAGGACTATTTGTATAGTTGTCCGACAAGTATGCTATCAAGCTGGTGTGTGTTGATTATGATATCGTTTGCCACAGCACCCCACAACTTGAGTTTCGCTGTAAAGAATGCCTGCCCTGTACTGACGTTATCATTCTGTCTGCGCTTCTAAGTTCTACATGTCATTTGGGAGCATTGCCTTAAAATTCTGTACAATGATACATTTATTTTGGCTATCCGAAGGCATGCAGTATGCAGGCTTACCTGCTGGCAAGAGCTGTCTGTTGCTGAGCTGGTATCTGAATGGCACAGGTCCTGATACTACTTCGAAGTATAACTGTCTTATAAAAAGTATTGTCGAAGTCCAGGCCTGTACACAATAAACGTACATGTGGTATGTTGGCGTATGGAATTATTATTTCAAGAAGAGATTTTACAACTGCTCCAACTAACCTGAGCGGATCAGAATTCTTTCTCTCTTTCTCTGTCTCTGTTTCTCTCACTGTCTACGTCTCTCTCTTTCTCTCTCTCTCTCTCTCTCTCTCTCTCTCTCTCTCTCTCTCTCTCTCTCTCTCTCTCTCTCTCTTCCAACTGAAGTCAGGTCTAAGTGGGTCTGTGTATTCCAAGACTGCACACAGTATACTCTGTAAAGATGATTATCTGGAGCTGTCTCAAATCAGTGCGTGTTGAAAAACACGTGTGTGACTTGAAGGGTGGGAACCTGCGTGTTGACAAACACGGGATCACTGACAGCTCACAATGCTTCACTCTAAAGACTAACTGTGTAAGGACTCACTGACATTCGTATTGGCTCACTCGCTGTACAACTACAAGTGTGCTGGTCTTGGTACTTGATCTGGGAGGCCAAGGAAATCGGATTTGGCGCGCTCTCTGCATTTTTTTTTTGACGATCCGCTGCGTGCACGCGTTTTGCCGCCAAACTTTGGCACGTAGATCAGTCATGTAGATCATAGATGTATGCGGCGAGATCTGTGATTCACGAAAGCATGCCGCGCGCGGCGCAGCCAGTGCAGGCCTGGCACCCCGCAGCCTGTACAAGGCTAGGCATGTATACATGTATGTAGTAGATCTACGCGTCAGTCATGTACTTGACCAGATGACTGCGTGCATGCACTAGTACAGTACTAGCAGCACTGCACTGGTACCATACATGCTCGTGCCATATATGTCACAGGTACAAGCGCACACAGGTGAACCATGCATAATCGGCTTGCCGTGCAAATCCTCGCTGTCACTTCGTGTAGCCTACTGTAGGAGACAATGTCGGCTATTCCCGAACAACAATGACAGCTTCCTCTGTAAACGCGGAGCGTGGGGAATGTCTTTGGCGAATGAGAGCTGTTGCATTGGCTAGCTGTACATCCCAGCAAGCGGGAATGTGCTGGATATCGATACTAAACACTCGTTCGTCGCGGTGGTGAGTCTCAGCAGACCCCAAGGTACGACAGCTTTGTATACTAAATGTGTACAGTGCGTATGGTGAAACAAGTCGACACTGGTTTCCAGCGAAATGTTGTTATCTATGTACAATATCCACCAATATCCTTTATCTAGGGCCCAAAGGCTATCCAATTCACCAGGATTCGTGGCCTTACTATTTTTCGTATTCTCCGCGTTTTGAGTTGAAATCTGAACATAAAAAGTAGCACTGATGACGTCATTCTGCTCAAAATTGAAATTTGACATCGAAAATCGATGCAAACCAGCCCAATGTGTCGACACAGAAAATTTGGTTGAAAAATATTGATGTAGGCTAAAGTTATTACCAATACAAGTTTTGTACACACATGATCACCTTATTATACCTGAGTGTGTGTGTGTGTGTGTGTGTGTGTGTGTGTGTGTGTGTGTGTGTGTGTGTGTGTGTGTGTGTGTGTGTGTGTGTGTGTGTGTGTGTGTGTGTGTGTGTGTGTGTGTGTGTGTGTGTGTGTGTGTGTGTGTGTGTGTGTGTGTGTGTGTGTGTGTGTGTGTGTGTGTGTGTGTGTGTGTGTGTGTGTGTGTGTGTGTGTGTGTGTGTGTGTGTGTGTGTGTGTGTGTGTGTGTGTGTGTGTGTGTGTGTGTGTGTGTGTGTGTGTGTGTGTGTGTGTGTGTGTGTGTGTGTGTGTGTGTGTGTGTGTGTGTGTGTGTGTGTATGCGTATTCACACACACACACACAAACACACACAAACACACACGCGCGCACACACACATATACACACACACACACACACACACGCACACAAACACACCACCACCGATATCTTGCCGGACTGCTGTGCATGCATGCTTGTAATTAGAGCCAACTTGTGAGGCATGTATATTGAAGTACAGTTCTGCATGCTCGATGAAATCCAGTCGCGTCACTCAAGTTTGTGCCTTGCACCACTTCGCAGCCCAGTGTTCGCAGGTCTAGGGCTGCCCAACGCCTGGCGTGTACTTGAGGATTTCATTGATCAGTGCTGCACATGTAGCTAACAGGTGACACTCCGTTAAACCAGGGCCGTCGGCAGGGTAATCAGTTTGAGTGATGCGGTCAGCCACCTGAAGTACAAGTTACCGTGGGGTTGCGCGGTCTCCTCTGAAAAAACTCGAGATTTAGAGCTCAAATCGCTCAAATCAATGCGTTTTATTAATTCACATGGTATTTGGGGCAAAGAGTGGTACTGTCAAAACCGTAGTGACTTAAACGTGTCCAACGCCCCTGTTAAAACGCTTATGAAAACGGAAGGGTTTCATGCGGATTGTGGGATGGTGTGCAACGCAAGTCATTTCCCATTATAGGAAGAATCGTGCAGGATGTTTGTTGTTTGCGATGTGGGCATCGCCGGAAATTGACATGTGTTGGAATCATGTAGCAAGATACAGATAGCATGATGTCTGGATAGTTTGCGTACAAGCAATCAGGATGGGATCTGTCACTGAGTCAAGGTCTGCAAGTTGGCTAATGTGTGTTTTCTTCTTGTATGTGTGTGCGTGTGTGTATGTACGCGTGAGCATCTGTGTGTGCATGCATGTGTGTGTGTGCATTGTTTGTGTGAATGTGTGTGTGTTTGCTTTGTTCTGCTGTTGCTGCTTCTCTTGTTGTTTCTGCCGGTGGTGACGATGCAGATTCCGTAGCATAACAAAGTCGTACTTCCGCGACGCCAATGGTGTTCTTCTGGTGTATGACGTGACGGCTGTGAAGAGTTTTAGCCATGTCCGACAGTGGATGGGAGACATACTGGTATGCCTTACTATAGCCTGAACAGTCAGCGGCGGATCCAGGAGGGGTTCCAGGGGTTCCGTGAAACCCCTAAGTTTCGTAAATGTACCCTAAGTTTCGTAAATGTACTTACTGGCAACCATATGCATGTCCATGTACATGTGTCAGCTATTCAGTTTTGACTGCTGTATAGCAGGAAATTTTCAGACGGAAAGATTTTCGGACAAAGCCGAATTTCGACCTTTCGTGCGGATTTTATTTTCGCACAGTGGTGCATGCTAAATGCACGTGTTTGCATGTGGGGTACGCATGTATAGTGTGCATAACTTCACAGGAACAAATTTTAGTACGGAATTAATTTTAGTACAAAAGAGGCCGTGTACGAAATCGTCCGAAAATTAATTCCGTCCGAAAATTTCCTGCTATACAGTATACTGGAACCCCTGAAGAGATCGCTGGATCCGCCGCTGTGCAGTAGAGGTTATGCAATTACACCATCAGTTGAGATGCGTTGGCTTAGTCGCAGACTCGTGGCACAACACTGCACTTGCGCTAGCGACTCACGCTGCATGCGTAGTGCCCATTAGAAAATCCACTGATTCCCGCTGTATAGTAAGCGCCCATTATAGAAAATCCGCCTTGAAATGATTCACATAACCGCTATATAGTTTGTGGCGGTGAGAATTGAATTTAGTACTTCCTGATTCTAACGGAATGTCTCGAATCTCAGGAACACACTGATACCGTCATGGTTATGAGTTACGACACAGTCATCATTCTCCTCTGCTGGCATCGCATTTTGAGCCGTACCCTGTAAGAGCGGAGGATTGTGATATTTTATTTGGTGAAGTAGTTAGGCATCTCCTGATGCCTTACAACTCTGCGCGCCAGGTCTGTTTGTGCTTCTGCCATACAATTTGCAGCGTTCCTTACTGCTGCTGCTGCTGCTGCTGCTGCTCTCTCTCTCTCTCTCTCTCTCTCTCTCTCTCTCTCTCTCTCTCTCTCTCTCTCTCTCTCTCTCTCTCTCTCTCTCTCTCTCTCTCTGCCTGTCTGTTTCTCTCTCTCTCTCTCTCTCTCTCTCTCTCTCTCTCTCTCTCTCTCTCTCTCTCCCCCTCTGTGGGGTCGGTTTTTGCTGGCCAGCCGTATGTCTGCGTTCGAATCGTTGCTATATTTCTTCTGCAGTAGCTTCACCGAGTAACGTGCTATAGTGTCTTGTTCTTCTCTTTACTCATACATATATCTTCAGGAAAACGCTGATGATCACGTTGTGGTGATGGTCCTGGGTAACAAGACGGACGTAGTCGCAGAGAGGCTGGAGGATGACAGTGTTCTCACTAACCATGGCCGAACGCTGGCTGATGTAAGTCCTTGATGGCAAGGCCAGTTGTAAAATGATGTGTTGTTTTCCTGTGTGATGACATTCCCCAAACTGTCTTCGTCTAGGCGCGTGCATGTGTGATATGAGCATGGGCGATGTTGTAGTCGAGAGTCGATTTGTCAGTTTTCTTGCTCGTCTCTTTCAGTGTAGTTTGCCTTTCCGTCATGTCAATATAATAATGTAACAAACAACTAGTCTTGTCCTTTGTGTCCTGCGTCCCGGGGAACGGAATGGCTGTGATTCCGTTACAGGCCCGACCTCATCAAGTCTCTGTGCCAAGGAATAAAGTCAAGCGAAGCTCTCACAATGGTGTAGCAAACCACATTGTTTTATGAACATCATGTTTCCACAAACACAATGCTCTACTTTAAGATATGTAGGGCACACTGGCGTGCTACCAATGATGAATACGTGTGTTTGTGTGTGTGTATGTGTGTGTGTGTGTGTGTGTGTGTGTGTGCATGTGCAGGGACTAATTTACTTCAAAAAATTGCATAGCAATAATTGCTACACACCTCGACGTTTGCATAGCAACGCAACAATTTTGCATAGCAGTTTTTTTCCGTCGACAATGCAGTCTTCAGTGCACTTCCACTTATACCGTCAACAAACGCCGTGCTGTAATTCCTCAAACCACGAAGCGAGGACGCCTTCTCCCTGCACATCTTGCAAAATATCTTGGTCACAGCTCCACCACTCGACTCTGCGCGAATCCATTCTTTTTTGGGATCAAATTCAGCAATCCACTTGTCCACAGTACCTTGCTTCACAGACATGCCGGCAGTGAAGAGGCTTCATCAATAAGGCTAGCAGAATTTTACAAAGATAAGTCCTGAACGGTCGAGACGCCTACTGCTAGTGAAGCAACGTGGTCTAAATCTCAAAAGCAGGTGAAGTACTTGTCGACACTCGCCTCGTGCTTCCTGGGCTGCACTTCAAGTAAGTAGTTAGTTAGTTTCCAAGTGCACGTGCTGCGGTGCGCGTGCGGAGATAGTGTGACATACGGCCATGGTCCCGCGGCCCGCGCGTGCGTATGGTGTAAAATCTACCTGCAGTGCAGGCTGGACAACCACACACACACACGGTCTAATCTAGTCACAGTGCATGGCGCGCCATCTCCTGGCGCCAAACCAGCCACACACACTGTAAAGCTACACATGTGCATGCGCTACGCGTGCACTACACGTCTATGTCCAGGGCCATACTTAGCTGTATGTTGTGTGTGTCGCAGTTTACCGCGACTCACTACGAACTTCGAATCGCAGACACTGTGTTTTGCGTCGCAAACTGCGATGCGATACCGGTTAAATTAGTCCCTGATGTATGTATGTGTGTGTGTGTGTGTGTGTGTGTGTGTGTGTGTGTGTGTGTGTGTGTGTGTGTGTGTGTGTGTGTGTGTGCTTGTGTGTATGTGTGTGTGTGTGTGTGTGTCGGTGTGTGTGTGTGTGTCGGTGTGTGTGTGTGTGTGTGTGTGTCGGTGTCTGTGTGTGTGTGTGTATGTGTGTGTGTGGCGGTGTGTGTGTGTGTGGTGGTGTGTGTGTGTCTGTGTGCGAGTTTGTGTGTATGTGTGGGGGGGGGGGTGTATGTGTGTCTGTGTGTGTGTGTGTGTGGGGGGGGGGGGGTGTATGTGTGTCTGTGTGTGTGGGGGGGGGGGGGGAGGGAGGGTACGTGGGTGCATGTCTGTGGATGCCACAACCATGACATCGTATTTATATAGTTTGTGCTTGTCTGGTTCTGTTCTGCAGAGTTATCGCTCTTTGTTCGCTGAGGTCAGTGCCAAGACGGGAGCTGGAATTGCTGATGCCATGGCTATGATGATCAGGTATGTAGCACGATGTCACTGTGTGTGTGTGTGGGGGGGGGGGGGGAGAGAGAGAGAGAGAGAGAGAGAGAGAGAGAGAGAGAGAGAGAGAGAGAGAGAGAGAGAGAGAGAGAGAGAGAGCCGAGAAAATGATTGGCTATGTGCCCTCTGTGTGGGTGGGTGAGGAGGGGGCTGACAGCGAAAATGCCTTGCACACCTTACAAGTCTTGCTATGTAGAAGCCATTTTGACGATAACTATTTTGAATTGAATCACTCCTCGGCAGCTGCAACAGCTCCTCCCAATGATCTCATCCCTATGTAACCATTCTGATTTTCCTCACTGGTCTCGGTGTTTGTTGACTAACTGGTGTGTTCTTTCAGGGCAATGCAGGATGTAGAGGATGAACAGATCCGTCGCACCCGGCTAGCTGTGGATGTGGACAACGAGGGGAAGAGTGGCTCTCGATCGTGTTGTTAGTAGTGACAGGTGGTCGTGGTGACTCAGGCTGCGGTGTGCAAGGATCTTTCTTACTCTCACTCTCTCTCTCCCTCACTGTCTCTCACTCACTGTCTCTCTCTCTCTCTCCTTCTCTCTTCTTCTCTCTCTCTCTCACTCTCACTCTCTCTCTTTCTCTCTCTCTCTCTCTCTCTCTCTCTCTCTCTCTCTCTCTCTCTCTCTCTCTCACATGATGGTTACCTGCATATCATCCATGCACAATGAAATTGGTTTGCGGTCCGCGAGCACCTCTTCTATCAACTACATATGCAGGAGTACAACGAATTTTCTGCTGCACCTGCCTGTTGGTTGTGCTGCTTGTGCATCAGAAGGTGGTGGTTGGTAACAGAGGCAGCAGTGTAGCTGCACTCCCTGTATCTATAGCATCCCGGCATGTTCTGCTCTCCCAGCATGTGCTGCTCTCCCAGCATGTACTGCTCTTGGCTACGTCAACAGTCATTAGTGGCCTGTGCATCCAGAGCTGCAATTGAATTATAACACATGTAGTCATGTACACTACTTTAGATGACATTGACGGTATAGCCATGGAAGCTACCCATGCCACGAACGCAACATACAGTGCTACATGTCCTACAGTAACCGTTGTTGTGTCCGTACCTCCACCGACTGCTACAGCGTGCGTACGCCCGTCACCGTCTTGACCTTCGGCTATCATCATTGTGCGTGTGAGTACGTTGTACGGGACATGGCATGCGAAACTGTACTCGATGTGTAATCAGGCAACCTCATAATCCCCGGCTTCTGAATTCGCCGGCTTTGGTTTCAGTCGTTTTACCGTTCCTGTTTCCGACCACCGGCACCTGAGACTAAACATAATCATTTCACTGTTCTTGTCAAGACTTCTGATTCTAATACGAATAATGGCCTCGTCAATCGATAGATACCTGCTGAAAGCTCTGCGTCTATCCAAGTCTATTTCTACAAACCTGGCTGGCACGTGTATTGTGATTTGTTGACCGTCTGTGCTTGATGGCTGCTGCAGACGCTTCACTATTCTCTGGTTGGTTTAGGTAACTCCGTCCTATAATCAATTAGGATTCTTACTCGCTGTGAAACCGCTTTTAGAAGATTTCACTTGATGTCACATTATACTAGGGAGAACACACCACACAAACACTAGACCGCGTTTCATCGGCGAGACGATGGGCGCTGCGACATCATGACATCATTACGACGCTGAGCTGCTGTGATGCTGTGCACCGCGACGACAACGCTTGCAACGCCGTCATGACACCATTAACTGCCCTGCTATCATGCTGTTCACCGAGATGATGTCGCTTGCAGCGACATCTTGACATCATTTATGGCGCTGCGCTGCTGTGCACCCCAGATCTGCATTGCCAATACCTCGCACGTGCACGTCCAGAGAACGATGGCGTAATCTCCAATACCACCCGGCTGTTTAGTTTTTGGCTGCGCACTCCTCAAGCGGGGCCATCACCTCATTCTTGTTTTTGACCTGCTCTTACTTATCTCAATTCACAAACAAACCGTTCCAGTCTGAGTTCCCCGGCAAGTGCAAACTTGTCATCTACTCGTTTTCAGTGCCCTTCTCTTTCCTGATAGTTTTCGGTTCAATTCTGGCCTAAAATTTAATTTCCGACTCAGTGGAGTTGCCCCCAGTAATTTATAGATGGATTCATTTCATTTCCGTCTTGCCCCAACAGAGATAATACCTGATTCCAAGAAATTCATGTCGATGTCTAAATTTCCAATTTTCTGCTTCGTCTTTTTCAAGATAATTGAAGATAATTATAGTCAAATATTTTTTTCTCCAGTCTCGCAAATAGCTTGGTGGCTTGTGATCAGTATGTTGATCCATTGTACGGTGCTGGTGATGTCACAGCGGTTTGGTGCTATTTATTGTGACCATGCTGCAGCCAGGCCCATGGTACAATATACCGCCCCACCAGGACTGTAGCACAGCCATTGGGATTTCAGGTGCCCCCCCCCCCCCCCCCCCCGGGCCAAATGGGATACTGGATATTGGAAATGAACGTTATTGACAAAAGCCCCGTTTTGCATGCATTGAATCAGAATGGGTCAATTGTTTTTCGAAAAAGCCCGGCAATGGCCACACTAGACTGGAAGGACTGGGTTCCCTGGCCTTGGTACAGACTGGTCAGGACAACTTCTACAGAGCAGGCAGTCGTAAAATACCGTATTTTACGACTGCCTGCTCTGTACAGATTTTAGAAAACTGGTATATCATATGCGGTTCACATCGTCATTTGAGATGCCTGTGTGTGTGTCCCGGGGAGTGGCAAAGCTGCAGTGCAGCAGTGCGCTAGTGCTGGCTGCGTTTTCCATACACTACCAGCACTGTGCTGTTTGTTACTTTTGTATGCGGTTTGTACTCAATTCAGATTTGCCATTCAAATTTCAACATCTGCCACTCAGTATAAAAGTCAAAACTATAGCACTGGTTTTCTCTCCATGCACTCTAGACAAAGCATACGCCATGACCTGATGACCTCATTCGCATAACCTCCGTACTGTATGACTACATGCAAGAGTACATGAAAACCAGAGTGTGCAGCTCGGATGGGTTGCTGTCACGGCGAAATTCCGTGATTACATCATTTTAGTGATGTAGTGCGTACAAGCAGGATAGACCCTTTGCACAATAACGGTCACGTGATCCGAGACGGGGCATCCTCTTCGATTTTTGTGCAGAGTATCAGTTGTTGAGCATGGTGAAACACTGTATTTTTCCATTTTGGAGATGGAGGAGAGAGTGTCGAGTGGTTTGCCATCGATGGCTGTGGAACCCTTGGAGGAGCTGTCAAATAAAGAATGGTCTGTGAAGGAACTGAACAGTTTTCTGCTGAATGAGAGTGCGTATCTGTCTTGAAAAAGAAGGAGTTATTGGAGCGGTAAGTTTTCCGCAGTCAGTGGATATTTCGGATTACTGTAGATTGAAATTTATTTCTATTTTCTCTACCTTCTCTCCTCTGTCGATGTAGAGAACGCTTCTCTATGCAGAACCCTGATGCTCCTAGAACTAAGAGGGGCACCAGTCTTCCTCGAGTGTACCTTCATCATGCCCAACTTTGTCATGCGTCCGAGTGGATGAGTGATGAACTTCTGTTTCCCAGAGTGAGTGCCACACCATGCGTGCTCATCTCCAACGCAGGGGCAAGTCGCCGACGACAGGGAAGAGGGCTAGGGAGCTGATGGAGTAGTACTAGTGAAGAAGCCCGTGGATAGTGTCCATGAGTTTTACTTTGGTGGCTATGTGCATAATGTGAAAGTCTGTCATATCGTGCACACAGCCACAGCTCGAACTCAGATGACTTTCTCCGCACACCTGAGCGATGAGGCTGCGTCGCTCTGCACTTCAACATCAGCAGCTCAAGCAGCGCCAGCAAGCAGTCGATCTTCCCCGCAAAGACAGGAATGGGTCATGCCTTTTTCTCAGGCTCCAGAGTCTCTTGGCAGGGCGTTCAGCGTCTTCGCAAAAGCAAGGATGAAAGTCGTCATCGACAAAGTGTTCCGAGCACAGCACTGTGGGTAACGATGTCGCAGCAAACTGCGGCCCTCTTCTCGCCAGATAGCGAGGATTCAAGAGTGTGGAATGCCAGCATAGCCAGGGAATGCATGGAAAGACAAGTGGGTTTCTTAGACTAGCCACTAGGGATGACGGTTGCTGCAAACAAGAACGCAACAGTGGTCCTTGGAAAGCATTTCGGAACTTCTTCCTTCAGAACTAAAAAAACTTCAAATGAAAAAGGCTGGGAAGTACATACATGAACATCGCGTCAGGACCGTGAAAACACAGCCTGTCACAGGAAACTTTATCACGAGCTGCAGCAAACCATGCATGCTGGTTGCATGCCAAGTGTGCAGCGCGTGCACAGCATGCCCCGTCTCGACCCCTCTCGCTTATTGTGCAAAGGGTCTATTCAAGCAGGTCTCTTTCTGCACAACTGCAGCTCAGTTGTACGCACTACGCCATTTCCCGCCTCAGATCTGGGCCAAATATGATGTAATCGCGGAATTTCGCCGTGACAGACACCCATAGCAGAAAAGGCCCCAAGCTGCACACTCTGGTTTTCATGTACTCTTGCTACATGTGTACAACAGTTATTGTAGTCGTCTGGACCGAGGCCATGTTTGCAGTGAATTTGAGCAGTTTTTTTCTTTCTTTCCGAATCCTGCAAAAGTAACGTCAGTTCGCCTACAATTGACCGGGCATTCAGCAGTGTTCCAACGCCTCGCCAGTTCAGCTGCTGTTTCATCAAGTCCTCAACATACAGCACCGCAACGATTGTCTTCGCCAAGAATATGGAGACACAAATCTGGACAAAATGTCAAAAAATGCAAGCAGCCTCTAGCTCTGACGATCTGTAATCTATCGCATGAAAAAGGGAATTAATTTTTGAATGTTTTCCACTCGATGCATGACGTCATGCCAACTGCATGCCCCCCGCGCCATTGTTGCCATAGCCACTGCATACAGCCGAGCGTTCGAAGAGCGCAAAAATTTGGTCGCCTGCTTTTTCTTCGCTTTCTGAGAAAATTCCTTGATAACAATTTTGTTGAATACGAATCGTAGTTTGCCTGAAACAGCACGCTGCTTCTAATTTCTGGCCTCAAAGTTTGGTAAACTAAAATGAGGGTTTGAGGCTGCATCTCGACGTAGTGTAGTATTTTATTTTGCTTGAAGCGGTAAAGGAGTATGGAGAACCCTCCGAATCAGAGTTTGTACGTTCGAAATCTGAACGAGAAAATCAAGAAAGATGGTAAGAGTTCCATCAGTTTCGCTTGTAGAGAGTGATTTCGCTACACATGTTCCCCTTCTAATACAAATGTTATGTTCATGACTGGCCTCGGAATTTCACGCACAGTAATATTCCATTTTCGAGGATTGGGCTTTTTGTAGATATTTTTGAGAGGCAAAATACAGAGTGTATTGTAGGCGTACATGCCCAGATGGACAAAAATGGGGCATTGAACCCACATTCAGCTTCCTAGATACTGCCAGTGAATGGAGTTATGGTGCAAAGTTGTTTTGTTTAATTTTCCTGCACAAGACTTGGCATCCTAATGATAAGGGGATTTCGAAATATGTCCCCCCCCCCCTCCCCCCCCCCCCCGTACTAGTACACCATTTAAATGCTGTATAGCAGTAGAGTGAAAACTACACAGTGCTGTTCAATGAAATCCGACCGTTCAAGTCAGTACCACGCTGGGCGCTGTGTAGCCCTAGGCCTGCCTACACTGGTTTTCTGATCTGGTGTATTTCGCAAGCTTGACCCATGTGATTGGATTTCTTTGAGCAGCATTGTAGAACAAAACGCACTCAAACCAGAGTTCATTGCTTGACGGAGCATCACTCGTCATCATTTACTGAGTACCTTATGTCCGCGGTCAGGCCCACACATTTTTTACGCAAGGATCACTCTGAAATCGCCCCCTGTGGCTTCCATGACTACGGTATACACCAAACATTTATTTCATGCAATCCCATACAAACTGAATGTGACAGTTTGCTTCCACGGTGAGAGAGGGGAGAGAGAGAGAGAGAGAGAGAGAGAGAGAGAGAGAGAGAGAGAGAGAGAGAGAGAGAGAGAGAGAGCATCTAATTCCCATACATTCCTCAGACCCTGGAAATTACAGTACGTAACACAGCTGTCCGTGATCTGATTCAGGAAGCAATCGACTGCTTCAGTCCAGCCTGAGAAAATTCGAAAACAATCATGGTGGATGCAGTGAACACTCCTGGTAACTCTGCCGCACAACTGCGCAAGTTTCAGGCAAACTAGCTTGCGTGCATACTCCTGTTGAGTCTAGAGATTCCGGACTGGGACGAAGCAAACAGCCCATGTACTCTAGGTCAGTCCACACTCGTATCTGGCGATGCTGAATCATGGCAGCAACTCGACCCAGATCGTTTGGCAGACAATGCTGTCATGTGCGTTGCGGAGGGGGTAAAGCCAGGACTGCACAGTGTGCGTCTGGGGGGGGGGGGGGGGGGGGGGCAGGACCATTACACACGCGACTTCACTCTTCAGGCACCGCTTCTGTTGCTGCTTTTTAGGGGGGGGGGGGGGGGGGACAATGTTCTTTGTATTAATGACCGCTGCCTCCCTCTTTTATTATCTAGCTTTATGGTAATGGCTACAGCATGACATACTAGTAATGGTGAGTGTAGTTCAGTGCTGACCTATCATCATGATCCCTGCCTCCAATCCCTGTCATGACAGGCAGGAGTTTTCTTCAGGTGTTTTAAATAGCCTTATTAAATAACTGAAATTGATGAATATTGTCACCTTCTTTGTTGTTGTTGCTGCTGTCGTCGTCGTCATTTCTGTTGTTTTCTTTTCCAGAGCTCCGCCGCTCTCTCTACTACCTCTTCTCTCAGTTTGGTCCCATTCTTGACGTCGTGGCACTGAAGACGCAGAAGATGCGCGGCCAGGCGTTTGTTGTGTACCGCGACATTTCCAGCGCCACCAACGCTCTCCGCTCGTTGGAAAACTTCAACTTCTACGACCAACCCATGGTCAGTGTTCACTAGTATACAGTACAGTTGGTCGTCGAAGAACTGGGGGGGGGGGGTCAGCCTCCTAGCCTAGACCGTTATGATCTTCATGTATTGCGTCTATGCGCAGTTGAGTCGCCGTGTATGCATTGGTATGCGGTGCTTTATGAAATTCTAGCCTGGTCATTCTTCGGCGCCCGACTGTAATGTAATGATCTGATGTCTGAAAAGCCTTTCCTAAGAACTCTCCAACTCCACCGCAGCGTTTTTTTCTTCCACTTGTGAACACCTGCATTCTCCGAACAGGCTCTCAGCTGCACGAAACGAATGAAAGGACTGCCAATCCTTTCAGTCATCTTGCAGCTGAGAGCCTGTTCGAGGAATGGAAGTGTTTACAAGTATATGAAAAGCCTATGAATATAAAATGGCGGTCAGCAAACGCCGGACATCTCACACATTCTATCTCCATCTTTCGAGTGAGCCGCCATTTTGTTTTTGTTTTCTCCCTGCTGAAACCTTTCGTCAGTGCTGCGGCATTGACATCCCATAGCACATGTAGGCATAGTACTATAGTATGAGGGCTGAGCTGATACATCTACATCTAGCAATGTGCTGCTACTAATGGGGCTACCCACTGGGCCACTGGGCAGCAGTGCATACGTACATGCGTGCTGCACCAGCAGACTGCTCAGCGCAGGCCTGTACCTTTAAGTTTCACGCATTTCAGCGGCACTTGGCATTTTTGGCAGGATTCATTGATTGACAGTGGTGTCTGTGTTTGTTTGTGTTGTGTCATCGCTTACAGAGACTGGCGTACGCTCGTACGCGCTCAAAGGCGCACTACCGCTTTCACAACGAGACGCCCGGTATGACAACAGAGGAGAAGAAGAGAGTTGCGAGAGAGAAGAGAAAAGCAGCAGCGGGTGATGATGCAGGTGAGGAGAGGTACTCCAGTGTATGCCCTTTCCTCACTATCACCTTTGTGAGGAGAGGTACTCCAGTGTATGCCCTTTCCTCACTATCACCTTTCATGTAGGGCTTGAACGTGCTACCGTATTTTCCGGAATAAGCCGCACCCAGATGTTTTTTGTCACAAAATCCAGACATCTGATTTGAAACTGTCCACCTCTCCACGCCGTGCTCTATTTCCCACATTCTGATTTATCCAGACATCTATCCCCTTTTTCACAGCACTACTAGTACTAGTATCACCTTCACGTAGGGCGTGAAAGTGCTACCGTATTGTCCAGAGTATGAGCCCCTCCCTGAGTTTTGGTCACAAAATCGCTGGGATCAGCAATGCACTGTTCAACACCCCCAGACGACCATGTCCAGGTGGCTGTGTGGGGTGTTATGTGAGTACGCTGGGATCAGCAATGCACTGTTCAACACCCCAGACGACCATGCCCAGGTGGCTGTGTGGGGTGTTATGTGAGTACACTGGGATCAGCAATGCACTGTTCAACACCCCAGAAGACCATGCCCAGGTGGCTGTGTGGAGTGTTCATGGTACAAATTACGTCATTGCGCAACGGGCTTATTGTCGAAACGTTAACATTAATCGTCATCAAGACTAGCTCCTGCTGTGTGGGTCCCGCTTCTGTTGTGCATTATGGATTTTCGAGCTGAACCTTTGCTGGCGTATCAGCGTTTAGAGAATCAAGCTCCTGCTTGACTGCCTGGCTGTCTGGCTGGCTGGCTGGCTGTCTCGCTAGCGGGCTGTGCGTGGGCACTTGCCTGTTGACAGCTCTAAAATGCGGGACCCGCCTACACCTGGGTGTGTCTCCAAGTCACCATACTCAGCAGGATGTCTGTGTGTGTTCTCGCGCTCTTCTACAGGTAAACCAGCGAAGAAGGCCAAGACAAGTACGGCAGCAGCTGCAACACCAGCACCACCTGCAGCAGCAGCAGCAGGAGCATCATCAGCACCGTCTGAGAAAGGTGACCACTCACTCTCTCTCTCTCTCTCTCTCTCTCTCTCTCTCTCTCTCTCTCTCTCTCTCTCTCTCTCTCTCTCTCTCTCTCTCTCTCTCTCTACCTATCTATCTCTCTCTCTACCTATCTATCTATCTCTCTCTCTCTCTCTACCTATCTATCTCTATCTCCCCTACCCACACCCACGCATGCATGCATCCACACACACGATCCACAGTGAGTGCGTTCGATTATGCACGCGGACGAATCGATTCGCGCTATTCACATCACCCCATGTGAATAGAGTAAATGGATTCTGAATCGATTCCAGGGCTCATGACGTGAAAGTCGAACGACTTGAATGCATGCGAATGGATTCATGAATCGATTCAAGTGCATAATCGAACTCACTCACTGTGTGAAAGCGACTGAAGTATAACCCCTAATGCTTGCGTGTACATTGTCCTGCACTACATGATGTATACACAACAGCAGAGGAATTACACATGCATATCCTCTGTACCCGCAGTATTGGCACATCCTTCAACGTAATATCACGCCAGTATACCAAGCTAATTTGGGAACTCGTGGCCTGGCACGAGGAAAACATGGATGCAGTGAATGGCGTTTTCGGTCTTTGACCACTTGCTGGTGAGCTGATCTACTCACTTCCCTCCGCTTTAGGAGCTGCATCTGCGCCTTGACCCTTGAAGGTTGGTGGCATTCCTACGGATGCGGAAAACTCGGCCTCTAGCCCAGTCTGACGCGAACTGTGAAATGCTTAGTACCAAGCACTGTACACTGGTTTGAGGGAATGACGCAAGCGGTAAAAGTCTGAAGAAAAAATGGACTGTCACCACCACCAAATACTGTGTGTACAGTTGCACTCAGGAAAATCTGACCCAAAGTGCAAAGCTGGTGCCCTGGTCCAGTTTAGATTACACCATTGCGTCTGTACATTTGTACCTGCAGCCGCATTCGTACCACTTCCGGGGCGTCAACGGCAGCACCAGCTGAGGGCGCCAGACATGCACTTAGGGTCGGATTGCACCAAGCGCCTATTGTATATGCAGTGTGAAATGCTCCAGTCCACGGTGGCACAGAACGGCTGGAAACCCTTACAGTCCATTTCAAAACTATAGACGCGTACCTAGGCAAAAACCGTTATGCTAGCATCTATACCACATCAAATCTGTGATCACTTTGTGCACAAATTTTTCCAAATTGGGCGTCTGTTATCCAATCGTTTAGAAACTATATGAGAGTAATTGTGGAGCGATCCTGAGCAATATTCCGAAAACTATTCTCAAAAAGTTCCAGCCAAATTTGAAATATTTCAAAAACCCTACGCGTCTATAGTTTTGGAATGAACTGTAGTGTGTTGTGTCTATGCCTAGTTGTGTCACCTACCGTAGCTATTTGCCTTGCTTATGCTTTACTGAGTTTACTTGCACGATCCGTGTCCTCTCCACGCCTCATTTCTTTCTTTGCCGTGTATGTTTGCATGTTTGTCATCACAGGCAAACCGAATAAGGTCTTGTTCTGCAGCAACCTGCCCCATGAGACCAATGCGGACATGCTTAGACTTCTCTTTCAGCAGTAAGTGATCAACTGGAGTGTGTTGCTGGATTGTTGCGGTTGTGCCTTGCCTTCTTCGCGTCTGTCTGTGTGTGTGTGTGTGTGCGTGTGTGCGTGTGTGTGTGTGTGTGTCTCTCTCTCTCTCTCTCTCTCGTGCGCGCGCACGCACACACACACATTCTTTCTCTCTCACTCACTCTCTCTCTCTCTCTCTCTCTCGTGCGCGCGCGCGCACACACACACACACGCACACACATTCTTTCTCTCTCACTCTATCTCTCTCACTCACTCTCTCTCTCTATCATACACTCGTACACGAGCCCGCTTGCTTATCTTACTGCAGTTATTCCCCGCTGTCCTGGTATATGTACTAGTATTCCATGAAGTTGTGTTAGGATATTAATTAGGTTTCACCACTGGGATGCAGAGGATATTTTGAATTGTTTTCCAATCCCAGTACAGAGGTTACGCGATTACATCACCAGTTGACGTGTTTATATGAAGTTGCATTGGAAGGGCTGGTGTGCCGCTCCATGCAGAGCATACCGCCTGATGTCTTTCTCGTGACCTCTATTACCTGACTGCTTGGCCAATCGATGTGTATGTGTGTGTGTGTGTTCGTGTGCGTGTGTGTGTGTGTGATGTGCATGCATGTGTGTGATGTGCATGCATGTGTGTTCGTGTGTGTGTTTGTTTCTTTACCGCTACGCGCAGGTTTCCCGGCTACGAAAACGTCCGCCTCATCGAAGGTCGTAATGACATTGCGTTTGTCGACTTCCAGAATGACGAGGACGCGTCGACGGCACGCGACGCTCTTCAGGGCTTCAAGATATCACCAACACACCAGATGAAGGTTGAGTTTGCCAAGAAGTGAGCAGCAACGTCGTCGCTGGTAATGACCGCGTCTCGTCCTACTGTAGTTAGTGTGTCTGCTGGCAGGCCGAAGGAGGGAGCATGAGTTGAAGTAGCAGTAACAATTGGGTCCGACTGCCTCGCAGCTTTCCATGCTGAGTCGGTTTAGAGCTACCGGGCAGAAGCAATGTCGAGCACCGGCTGGGATCTTACACACTTTTTCGCCACGGCACAGCGGGGATTGGCCGAGACTGGCATGTGTCTCCGTTGCCTGGTGTTGTCGGCCTCGTCAGCTGCATGGCTTTTTCTTCCTGCTGACGCTGTGGCCTGCACCTGGTCGATGTCATAATCACCGATTGCCCTGCTGTGGGTGCTCAAACCCGGAACCGTGTATTTAAGTCTTCCTCTTGTGCGTTCTCTGATCTGATCCATTTCTTGAACCCACAACATCGTGTTCTTCCTCTTGTACATAGCATCTTTTGTATGATATGCCCTGTCTTTTTTCTTTCTTTTTTGAATGCAGTAATATTGTCTGTTTGTGGGGTGTGGAAGCGTCTAGTGCCATGTTGCCGATGCCTGGGCGCTTCCGTCTACCGTTTGCTTTTCAATAGTTTTCTTTTCAGCTCCTGTACTTAGTAGGCACTTTTGGGATGTTTGATTGTAATGATGATAGCGCCCTCCGCCATCGATGTTTGGAATGAACTGGCTGCTTGTGTGGTCGAGGTGTGTGCGTATATGTTTTGGCAAATCATTGGCTGCAGAGGCCGCACTTGTGTCGATTTACATACTCTTGGCCAATAGGTGTCACTCTTCAGACGAGACGGTGTGTGCCTGTTCACGGGTCCGTGTCTTTGGATTCCTGTCCTATACGACTTGAGCATTGGTCAGTCCACACGCTCAGAGCGTCCCTCCCCACTATACAACCATGTATTGTAATAAAAATGACTCCCTAGCTCGCTTATAAACAGAGAGTCCTGGGAACCCATGCCATCATGCATGTTCTCTGATCTTTCTTGCTTGAACACCAAGCTCACCTCGCACAACACAGGCAATACAACAATTACAAGACCAGGCTTAGTACACTCAGCTAGCTGTAGCCCTATGCATGTAGAGGGGACGGTTTCAAATAGGACACCGGTTGCAAACCGGAACGGACTCAATATTCACTTTCTCTCTTGGTATTTTGATTAGAAAACATATGTCACAGTGAGACTACGATGTGTTATACTCCGAGCCAAAATTTCATGGCTCTGCGATGACCAGAAGCGCCATATCAAGCAGGTGAGTTTTTGACGTGTTGCTTCGCACTGCGACTTGAGTTTTACGACTTTCGAAAAATCAACTTCTTGTTGCAGGTAAACAGCGGCTCGCCTCTCACCAATAAAGCACCGCATACCAATCAAAACTAATGGAAGCACACACAAGGCTTATTGTTACTCTGTACTGGCCGTCGTGGAGCGATAGCAATTACCTAATTTCAGACCCAGAGTGAATTTGACGTGCACTCTAAAACGTGTCCGGTTTGGAGCCACCTCTGATTTGAACTTTTTTGAAGCGAAAAATTGGGCAACTTGGAGGCAATGGGTCAACACAAAGGAGTGGCTCAGTTCGATTGACTCTGGCCCCAGAGCAAACTTCAACATGCCAGTTTCCTTCCACAAACATATTTCGAGTGAAAAATCAACGCTGATGATCGGTTTGGGTCTATACAAATTTGGCTGTCAAAACGTCCCGGTATCGAGCCGTCCCCTCTACACCGACATGATGTGCAGTTTGCACTACTAGTACTCAGTAACTTAGTACTAGTACAAGTAGTAGGTCTACCCCGACTACTAATGAGTAGCTCCCTGCGTGATTAAATTTTGCACCCTGTTTCGCTCACAGCTATCACGGCCGTGCCCTCGAGACGGGCACGCTGTCCCACATGTCAAACCAGAAAATGGGGTCAAGTCCGAAATCGAATAGACCGATCCCCTTATTATTGTCTGGGTTCGAGCAAGGGGGCAACTCCGCAGTCGCGTGGGATCCTGCTGCACACACGCGACCAACCTCACCTCGGCCGTGCGCGACTTCTCGCATGCGAAGTGCAGAGCACGCGAAATCTACATGCAGTGCAAGCCTGTCTACAAAAAATGTCACAAGGACTTTTGATTTGAGCTGTTTTGTTTTTGTTCAGACGTCTTCCTTTTTACGACTTCAGGATGCCTTCTCAGGATCATTGCTGCGTTCCTCACTGTCAGAACAGGAGGACGATGCAAACAAGTCATTTCACTCCTTTCCTCGTGTGGAGCCACAGCGGCCTGGAGCAGCGGATCCAGGCTATGCCCCGTGAGGAAGGGCGTAGTTTTAGGGTCACTCTGAATAGTTGCAGCGATCATTTCGATCCCGAAATCGAAATCGTTTTGCCCAGCTCTACAAGGGCAGGATGAGTCCAGGAACCCGAACAGCTGTCCTACGGTACCAGGTTTGCTTTTCGCAAGAGAGTGGAGTCTGGACGCCCTGCTCCCCATGCTCGCAAAACAGTATTTGCTGAGCCTAGTGCAGTTCGGTCATGGAAGTGCAGCGTCTGCATCACGAGCTCCCCATGCTCCCAAACCAGTATTTTGCTGAGAGGCAACGGTACTTTGAGTTGGAAAGGAAGCTGGCTTAGTGCAGTTTGGTCCTGTAATGGAAGTGCAGCATCTGCATCAGGAGCTGGCAGCAAGTAGAGCTCGTGTACAGAGTCTCGTGGAGCAGTTGGACGATGTGAGGACTGGGGTGAAGAAAGCCGAAAAACAGCTTACGTACAGTAACATAAAGAAAGACTCTGAGCCGCTCCAGTTTCTGACTGGTTTGCCTTCAGGTGTTTGGACTGCTCTGTGGGACTCCTTTGAGCCTAGCCGAGAAAATGTACTGCGCCGCGCCAGATCTGCGAAGACGGAAACTGAGGGACGGCGGATACAGTTGGAGGTGGCCGTAAATCGCCAATGAGCATGTAATGGAGGATCAGCTGCTATTGGCATTGATGTGTCTAAGCCTGGGCCGAATGGAACAGAAGCTGGCATGCGTGGCACAAGTTAATCATCCGTTTCACGGTATATAGCTAGCTGAGCTGGAAAGATGTCTTGTTCCTCCGTTTGGGCATGATCCCCATTTGGGCGAGCTGGCGAGATGTTCAGTCATCGATGCCATGCACCGCAAGATATTCTGCATTGTGGATGAAACAGTTCTATTTTGCCATGCACTTAGGGTTCTCGCACCGGCACGGCACAACAAGACCCAACAGATCCTTGCGCTCGTATTTTCTCCCATGGTAACATTGCTGATCACAACACCCAGTAGCCAGTCGCAGATGCAACCAAATCAACCAGGTTCTCTTACTCTTTTTTTCCAATACTGAAACCAAGGTATACCAATATTTGCATCGAATGCAGTGATGATTTCAATACTGTCCACCAGTACAACGCATTACCAGACTGGCATATAATCATGATAATATTATCCATTTCGCAATCACTGTCATTGCTTTCTTAGATCTCCAATCATCAATATCGGACCATAAACCGTCTATCATCTTATATTATATCATCATTAATATCCTGCTACTATCCTCCTCTAACGATGAGCTCGAAGAAACGAAACAGCTGTCTTGAGGCGTAAACAATATCTGTCAACGGAAGTGTCCTTGCTGTGCTGGTGTGTTTATGCTTCGTGCATTAGTTCGGCCAAGAGCGCATGGTGGTGGCGGGTTGAAGATGTAGTACAGCGGAGTATGACCGAAAGCTCTGTCACAATGTATTTTATTAGGAAGGTATAGAAACAGAAAAAAACTGTATCTTGATCTTGGGCGTAAACAGCCCGTCTCACATTAAATATACTAGAAAATAGTTCACTCTGAACATGCAGTCTTCCTAAGAGAGAGAGAGAGAGGGGGGGGGGGGGGGTATATTCATACTCAAAGGTTCGAAAGAACCGCACACACACTTTGTTGCAGACAGCGGCAAGCTTTGGCCATCGTACTTCGAAGAGGGAGCAATCCACTGCGCTACGCTTGCGATTAACAGCAAGCTTCGATCTTTCAAAGGTACGACTCATCACTGGCTCTGGGGTAATGTTCCTGGAACAAATGCCCCATTGCCGACTGCGGGCCAGGGAGCACGCAATCTGCCTTCCTGGGCGAGAAGTGTTCCAGCACAAGAAGCAGCACGAATACATGCTTACAAAGACCACCATCACCACCAGCCGGCACACAGCACTTCAAACACCATCCACTCCTTCCATGTGTTTGCACTGTCCTCCTCTAGCTCTTCACGCTCAACAAATACCACGCACTGCTCATCGTTTTTTTTTTATGCTTCCTCTGGGTTGGCTAGCCCTTCGACTTGACAAAACAGCGATCACCACTGCTATCGTCACCTCATAGCAGTCGCTTCCACCAGTGGCTTTTCCTGTCTTTGCAAGGTGTCCAAGGATGGCTGCTGTTGTCACTACAGGCAAATCAGAAGTACTTTAGTGGCTGATGTCCAACCAGATCGTTGGAAAATCGATTTTTCCACTTCAGGGCTGCTGATCGCGATCGCGACTTGGTGACTTCGCAGCACCACGGTTACCTTCATAGAAGATGGCTCTGGAGAGGAAAAGGCAGACCAGAAAAAGGTTACTATTATCTTCAGCACCGATCTCAAGGAGAAAGAAATACGGTCTGCTGTAGCCTAGGCACAAAATAAATCTCACAACACGATTCGCGATTCGAATAATACCAACAACAAAAAAACTCACCTCTGGAGTAACTCCTGTTTGTGGCCCGAGATCGTTCTCTCCCGCGCCTTGAAAAAATCCTGCAGCTGCATCACAGTCCATGTCTCTCTCGAAGACTCTGCTCCTACCAGCAGGAGGTTCAGCACCGCTCGAAGCCATCGCAAACCACTTGAACTAAACAGAAGACATTCCAAAACAAACCTGAAACACACTGTCAAAGATGCTGTCACGTTCAAAAACTAGCTCGATCGCGAGTGAGGTTGCCCCCGTGCTCGAACCCAGTATAATAAGGGGATCGGTCTATTATTTCAAAATGAGCAGCGCTGTGATCTTTCCTTGTCCTCAGTCGTCAAGTAAGTTGCTTTCGCTCCCCTGTTTCGTTGTTCTGTACTTGTAGCAACACATCAACGAGTAGATCTCCCCCAGCACATTGGGTTATGTTTGCCTATATGCAATGCGCGGAGAATGGTTCTATAGATCGTAGAATGAAAGAAACATTTTGAGCCAAAAAAATTGCCAGAGGAGCCTTTTTGTAAGCAACATTTCAGACAATTTTGTAGTAATGGAGCTGGGCCGGATTCTCGTAACGACTACGGGCATACTGCTGCTGGCGTTGCTGCAGGGATGTTGTAGTGCTGTCCAAGATCCGGAAACCTGCGACTATGACCAGCCATCAGTGTGCGACGATAACAACGCCTGCACGTTTGACTGGTGCGACGCCGTGGACCGATTATGTCACCATGACGTCATTCCGTGCGATAAGTGCGGCCATAACGAGGCAGTTGATTACGTCATGGTGATGGCGAACAGGCGTAGCTGTACAGTGAACATGACACGGTTACGGGTTGCCGAGCTCTCATACAAGAGACTAGTGGCGATGACGCGGCAAGCAAATGTCTCGTTCAGAGTTTCCGCCGTGGCCGTTTCGGAATCCATCTTTCCCGAAAAGGAGAGATTCATGACATTGCTCACTCGAGGGTTCACGCGGGAATCCAGCGTCCTAGACGCATACTTCAGTGAAGCACCGTTAGAGCACGAGGCGTTCAAAGCGAAGTCGACTCAGCCTGCCGGTTCAGGCCGGGTATCAGAAGAAATGTTCACGGTCGCACAGGTATTGCAAGGACGTGACCCCACCGTTCTGACTGCCACCGACGGTAGCATCAACCTTGCCATCGCCCGTAAGGGAGGCTTGGCGTTCCGTCCCTTTGCCCGCACCCACATCATGCTGTTCTCGGGTCTGTGTGCTGACACCGAAGACACCAGCAACGAAGAAGAGCTGGCGGCGCAGGAGGATGCGGACTTGCTGGGGAAATGGATGGACGAAGTGGTGGACCTCGCCAAGTCGCACGCGAACCCCATCTCCGTGTCTAGCTACCTACCCGGCGACGACGCACTGCGACGTGAGACACTCGGCGAGCCGCGGCTGGACGCATCGTACGGCGATGGACGAGGCTTCAGCCGCTCCGTGACACTGCAGAGTCTCATAGACGCGGGCCAAGTAGAGGCTAGCTCCTTGCAAGCGTATGCACTGGCTGCCGGCCTCGACTTCCGCGTGTTTGACTACCACAACGCCAGCAGCCACGGCAAGCATGCGTACGCCGGCCTGTTTCAGGCGAGCGGTGGCGACGGCATTGTCACATGCACACGTTGCAAGATGTACGGATGTGACCAGGAGACTGGATGTGTGTCCAGCAAGCGTCAGTGCGCTGACGGAGAGTTCTGCTCTCCTCTCGTCGGCTGCATGCCGGAGATACTGCCGCCGCGGGCCCTGGACATGCAGCTCCTCACGCATTCACAGTCGTACGCAGGCAATATCGTCATCCCAGAGTCGACACTGAGCGTTCACACTCAGCAAGCCGGTAAGGATCAACCTCACGACATTAACAATGACTCTGGTTCTAGTACAGGTATAAGAGACGCACATCAAGGCCATTCATCAGCCTCGGAAAGTGATCCTCGCGCAGCAGTAACGGACACGGCCGGCAATCAACACGATGCTCCTATAGCTCAATCAACACCCGACGGGGTGCCACCTTCGAAACCAAGTCCACGAGGTCAAGTCGAGGATGGTACAAACGAGCGTGACCCAGATGATGGCCGTCACCGCCAAAGCAGCAACACTACCACTACTACCACAGGTCACCAAGCGTCTTGTATATCGCGGGCACAGTGGCGCGATCGCCTCAACCCGATCGCCGTGGACGTACGCCAATGGTCACCGGAACGCACCTTCACCAATGACCTCATCGCCGCCGGACGGCCGGTAATATTGCGCAACACAATGGCCGCCCAGTGGCCGGCGCTGACACGCTGGACGGAAGCGTTCCTGCGGCGCGCCCTCAACGACACCCTGCTCAACGTCAAGCAGACACGTGGACACACGGTCACGTTCGATCCGGACCTCAAGGCACCGATGTCGGCGCTCAAATCGATCAACCTCACGCGACCGTACTCTGTTACGAATATGTCCCGCGATGACTTCTTCAACGCGTTGAACAGCGCGAGCAACGAGGAAGACACGGCGATCAGCAGTGGAGAGTATTATTTCACGGACCTACCACAGCGTCTACAGCAAGACCTGACCGAGTCACACCTGATGTTTGCCAGTAGCGACGACTTCAAGTTACGCCGTCATTTCCTCTGGCTGTCTTCGGCAGGCATGGTCACGCACTCTCATTTCGATCAAGACTACAATTTCTTTGTTCAGCTGAGCGGCCATAAGACGTTTACGCTGTGGATGCCGGAAGACTTTGGTCTGATGTACATGTACCCGCGCCTGCACCCAATGTGGCATAAATCCCAGGTAAACTGCAATGGTGGACTAGTTGTGTGTGAGTGTGGGGGGGGGGGGGGGGAGTGTATGCGTGTCTGTTTGATCGGTGAAGAATATTTCGACCGTGTATCCCTCTAAAAGGTGGACTAGCTGTGTCTCTGTCATGTTATAGCCCATCTGGCACTGCTGTCGTCTCTTCCTCTCATTCTCACGCCCACCTACTCTCTCTCTCTCTCTCACTCACTCTCTCTCTCTCTATTTCTCTCTTTCTCTCTCTCTCTTTCTCTCTCTCTCTCTCTCTCTCTCCAGGTTGACCCAGGCTCACCGGACAATGGCCGCCATCCACTGTTCTCTCGTGCCCAGGCCTACGTGGCATGTTTGTCGCCTGGTGACTTGCTGTACGTACCTCCGTACGTGTGGCATCACGTCGTCTCGGAGACACGCTCCATCTCCGTGTCTACCTACTCTCATGATCAGCTGGTCAGTGTGACTGTTAACTGAAAACTGTAAACAGTTTTAACTGATTTCTTTGATGTGAAAACAGGAGACAAGAGGCGGTTTCTGTTGTAACTTTTTTTACAGCGGAATGAAACTGTTTAAAAACTGTTTCATGCACGGATTGATCATCACTGAGCGCATGGAATGTATGCTGTCTGGAGGTCGCTCAGCGCATGAACCTTTTCAGTTGCAGCAGAGACCGCCTCTCATCTCCACTGTGGGCGTGTGTGCATGCATAAGTGCGTGCGTGCGTACTGCTCTGCACTCTGGCAATGGTAGTTGTCGAGACTCAAGACTGTTAGTTGACTATCAAATTCGAATGGCCGAATGCTGGTCCTGACCATATCTTACTATGACGACCTGCCATTAAGCAGATCAACAGCCGTGCTTTGTGTGGTATCAGAGCATATCCTATAACCACTGTTTCAACCTTCAGAGCATGTCCTATAACCACTGTTTCAATCTTCTACCAAACATGCAATGTACACTCATACGTCGGTTATCCAGACACCGAAGTTACGGGCACTTCGGTCTACTGGGCACTCTTTGGGCGAGTTTCAGTGGAGATATTATCACTCTTTTCAAGTCTTTTGTCACTTTTTGTGGAAATAGTGACGGCATACGCCATATCTATGGCCTTTCCCCATCGAAATGTGTGTGTTTCGGAGTTACGGACATTTCAAAGTTACGGGCAGTGCCAGGTCTCAGATCGCCCGGATAAACAAGGTATGAGTGTATATAATTCCTGTAGTGAAGAGCACGTAGAAACCAAAGGTTACAGATCACCTACGGGGCTGCCAAACCGTCCGATTTTTTGAAGGCTCTTCCGAAAACCGGTTCGAAAAAGGACATGTACTGAATTGTGATCTTCTTTGTTCGTATCTTGGTGTTTGTCCTGTCCAGGTCCGCAAGCACATGAACGCTATCTACAAACACGATCATAAGTTTGACCTGCTGGCCAAGCAGCGGGGCAAGATGTTCGTCCTCCGAATGTTCCTGGACATCATGGTGCACAACCTGTATGGCAAGGGAGAGACTGCGCCGTTTTTCAGTCGCCTACTCGGCACACGCTACCAAGGCATGGAGAAGGTAGCTTCTCTTCGTTTGGTCTTGCGCGTTGCGTGTGTGATTCTTTTAAAAGTATATAAGACATTGAGTCTGTGGGGATTGCCCTATCAAAATATGAATAAATAATAATAATACGAAGTAGTGGTTGCGACTTCGGCGATGATTTGTAAGAAAGGGTTTGCTCCCCACACCGGAGCTCGCGCTATTCCGCCGACTGTACTTGACACTTGACTGACTCACGACTGCCATCCAGAGCACACGAGAAGTCCATCGAACCTTTGACTCGGCAAACCTGCAAGAAAGCACCACTCCCTGCTCAATACACAGTGTTTCGGGGAATTCACCCCTCATCAGTTGAGCGAGGTGTTTGTCGCACTTGAAACGGAGCGTCTCTGTAAGTTTGTATCCCTGGTGATGTTTGTGCCTGGAGAGCACTATATAAGTGGTGCTCTTCAGGCACAATCTTCCTCAGCCTACTCAAGCTCAACTGGTGCTTTCTTGCAGGTTTGCCGAGTCGAAGGTTCGATGGACTTCTCGTGTGCTCTGGATGGCAGTCGTGAGTCAGTCAAGTGTCAAGTAAATTCGGCGGAATAGCGCGAGCTCCGGTGTGGGGAGCAAACCCTTTCTTACAAATAATAATAATAATAATAATATAACATGTAGAAGAGAAAAGGACATATGGATACGAGTTAAGAGTAACTCTCCATCACTGTAACATGATACTATATACAGTCAGAAAGTGCAATAACTAGGCACAAAACTGACAGAGTACTGAAACATTCGACGTCCTGACACCTAGCTTCAACACATCTCCGTAGCGCTAACCGACAGCCTTCCAACTTGGAAGGTTCAAGGTTATGGAAAGACCAAAGAGGGGAAGGCAAGCGCAACGAAAACGAGCAAAAGCTACAGTCCCAACGGAACAAAGAATGTCGATTGTTACTGGACGATGACGAGACCAGTAAGATATTTGACAAAGCGGTCTAACTACAATTCGAAGCAGCAAAGCAGCACACCACCCAACTTGGGTCGGTCATAAATATCAAAGATAAGTTAAGAAAACTTTGAACCTTGAACCTTCCAAGTTGGAAGGCTGTCGGTTAGCGCTACGGAGATGTGTTGAAGCTAGGTGTCAGGACGTCGAATGTTTCAGTACTCTGTCAGTTTTGTGCCTAGTTATTGCACTTTCTGACTGTATATAGTATCATGTTACAGTGATGGAGAGTTACTCTTAACTCGTATCCATATGTCCTTTTCTCTTCTACATTTATTTATGGCTCAACATCCGAGTTTCAAATATAACATGTGCTTGATATAACCCATCACCAAGCGGTGTGTGCACACGTGCGTCGAATTCTACGCGCCCAAGTGGGAAACGTCACATGATCGTGACTCAGTCGAAACTAACTCTAACTCAAAGGTGGAAATATCCAGGTCGAAGAGTTCGAGCTAAAATACGAAAATAATTTTATTATAATATACATTTGTACCTGTACATGTAGGGAAAAGTAATTTTTTTGCTGATATCGACAACAAATGCATGGTGCATGGAAAATTGTGAAAAACACGTGTTTCTCTCTATATTCTGTTCTTGGTTTCTACTGTATAAGCTGTTCCCCATTCGTCGTGATCACCCTCGCCTGTGTCGCGGTAGCAAGGGACGCGGTAAGATGCCCACCGCCCAGCATGTCTACGGCTACGCCACGTTTGATGCCAAGGTCGTCTCCAAGCACTTCATGAAACTGCCCAGCGTCGTGCGGGACATCCTGTTCTTAGGTGAGTGATGTACTGGTGCATTCTCTGCCTACAGTACTGATGGGCGGCGGAGAACGTAGCGCCGCAGAACGACCAGGCTAGAATTTCATCAAGCACAGCCTACCAATGTATACACGGTAACTCAACTGCCCATCGACTGTAATAATTATATGAAAATAGGAATGGTCTAGGCTAGGAGGCTGACCCCGTTCTTCGGCGACCGACAGTACTGCAAAGCTCTGTTGTCAAGTCACTCAAACCATTTCCAGCTCCTACTAAACGGAGTGAACGGTCACGCCATTGGCAGTGGCGCCGTGAGCTTCGGGTCTGGACGTACAGGAGTTTGAGTATGATGCTCCCTCGCCTCTGGGCTGGGCATTCCTTGTTTGTTTCACAGTTACCTGCCATAGTGGAAAGCTCGCTGTGTGTCCCGCAGTTTGAGCACTCCGACTTTGATGCTTTTAAGCCAATTTAAAAATGCTTGTTGTTCCCTACCCTAGTGTGCAATACGATCAGTCAGCCAGCCACTCTGAGCTCTGCCGGTGAGGCACATCTAGCTAGCTGTCCGGAGGTTGAACTTTGCCACACGCGAACCCTGCACTGATTTCACTCTCTACAAAGTGTATGTAATGATTTCATTCCAGCAACCTCTGTACTGGAGAGGCAGTGCAGAGTAGGTTCGTTGCTTTCCACGGAGAAAGGGTGCGGGAAAACTGGAAATGGCCAGGAAAATTCGTTCATTGGGAGCTTCTGGCAATCTGCAAAAGCAGGAACTTCAAATTTTTGGAGTAAATGTTCTTCAATTCGGACTTGTTTGTTTGACAAGCACACTGCCTTCTTTTTGTGTGTGTGTGCGTGTGTGTGTGTGTGTGTGTGTGTGTGTGTGTGTGCGCGCGCACACTTGTGTGTGTGTGTCTGCATGTGTGTGTGTGTGTGCGTGCGCGCGTATGTGTGTGTGTGTGTGCGCACGTGCGCACGTGTGTGTACGTGTGTGCATGCATGTGTATGTATATTCATGTGTCGGTGCTCACCCTTATCTAGACTACGTCGAGGAGATCTCGGCGCAGGTGGTGGGCATTGAGGATGTGTACGCATTCTTCCGTTATTGCTTTCATGAACCAGTGGAGTACTACGTGACAGAGCCTGATGGTGCGGAACACGACTTGTGGGATCATGGCGTGGAGGACGACGCAAACCCAGAGGACTAGTAGGGCAGCAATGGAAAGGCAGTCTTGCCCTCTTCCACCTCCATTGTCAGCAGCGAGAGCAGCAACACTGTCCCATAGCCTCAACGGTGCTGCGATGCAATTGAACAAGAGACGAGCACAGTCCATGCCGATGGATGATCTGGATGCGCATTGCCAGGACGTCGTTCATCACGTGATTATTTGTCTAGCTAATGGCTACAAATGTGTTTGCGTACACCATCATGGAAACATTTGAGTGTGGTGGTTAAAGTAAGAGTCTTGAGTATCGCGGCTTCAACGGCTATTATATTATTGTAGGGAGGTATTTTGAACAAGTTGAGTTATTCCGGTTATTGGATGGGACCTGTACAGAATTCCGCTATCTTTTCCCCAGCACGCTTTTTTCATTTGTTTTTTTTCTATTTATACGTTGTGCCGTTCCTTGAGCATGCTCACTGTTGCGGGCAATGGTGGTGCATCTGGCAACGTGAAATTAAACTTAATGCTAGATTTGCTCTCGCGTGGAAGAAGGTTGGAGGGTATGTCATGCTGGCTTGCTGTCCCTGCAATGGGACACAGTGTATGTCATGTTATGTTACCTTTGTTACAACTCTCGTCATGGTGCGCAAGCTCGCAATAACGCCGACACCACAGGCCGGCGTCGTTGGCTTGCCTCACCAGCACAGGTTCCTTCTAAGTTTTTGGAGCCCCTACTCTTCCCATTGTTGTGTTGTCCTGCTAATTATCTCCCCCCCCCCCCCCTTCTTACGAGTAGATCGTGTCTTCAGGGGGGAAACAGTCACCTTGAGAACAACCACCCTCGGTCATGCATGAGATAAGACTTAGTGTCGTTGATTCGCGGGTTGTCGTTAGTTGTGAGGTCGAGAGTATGCAGTTAAGTGACCGCTAGGTCTGAAGATTGTGTCGTTATGAATCGTGAGTCGTTTTTATACCAGAGGTCGTTATCATGAGGTTTGCTGTACTGTGACAAATTCGGGAGTTGAATTTAATACTGTAAAACAGGCTATTTTCGGTGTAACTTTAATTTCAGTAGAAATACCAGGCACCTAAATTTAGATTACACCTAAATGACACAATAGTGTGTTCTGTATGTGGGGGAATGCCTGTCACCGAATTCTAAGCTACACCTGAAACCCATCAGGTCCCTGACACCGAAACCTTAAAATACACCTAAAATTACATGCTTTACAGTATTATTTTAATGGCGGCTTTCCAGGACGGAGCGTGCCACTACTTCACTGTACATAAACCGAAGCACGGAGGCCGAATCGCGGAAAATCTTGACGAGATCAGGGTTTACACACTTTCATCTCGTTTATAAATGAAGGATTAAAAAAACCCAAGATCTTACAGAAGTGACGGAAAAGAATGAAAAATATGGTGCTTTTCTTGGGCTAAAAAGAATCGAATGATTGATCAGGTGTGGCACAAACAAACAACGAAATGGAAAAGAAGCTGCAATATAGCAGGACTTGAATTTGGAGAAAGTCTTTTCAAAAAGGGGAGGGGTCTCCTAGGAACGCATCCACCGCTGTGCTGTCTCCAGGACACCATGACGACTCGCGTCCGCCGAAACTGGCACACTGGCAGTCGCCATGGCCACCTGTCCACCAATGGTGGTGGTTGCCTTGACGACGATCGCGTCGGCGATGCCGTCCAGCTCGTGACCGGACGGGAAGACACGCGTGACGCGGTTGCCCTCGGCGTCCACCTGGAGCATGGTGTCGCGCGCACGACCGCTGCCCGCGCGGTGCTCCGTGACGCGTACAAACACACGCGCAAGGCCGTGATAGGCGCTGCGCCAGCTGGCCTGATTGGGCTCGTGGCAGCGCGGGTCTCCGTTACCGACGGCGACCACTCGGCCGGGACCGGAGGCGACGGAGAACGTGACGTTGTGCGCCGCGCCGGGCACCACTTGACCGCGACTGTCCACGATCTGCGCACTCAGCATGGCCGTGTCGAAGCCGTCCAGTACGAGAGAGCTACCGGTGCCGGTCGCCGCTGACGGCGCGTCCACACTGAGTAGTAATTTAACCGGAGGGCCGGGAGTCATGACAGTGTGACTGGTGACAACCTTGCCCGTGCCGTCCAGCCCCACCGCCGTCAGATTACCGTCTGTGTACTGGACGTTGTTCCACTTGGCGTAGCCGATCCAGACGACGGTGGACTTGCCCTGCGACGCGCCGTTCACGAAGAGCTCTGCCTGCGGGGCGTTTGTGTGCGCCTGTATGGTACGCTTGCTGCCACCGACATCCGGCTGCCAGTGCTGCACGATGTGTATGGTGTATGCATCGTTATTGCCACTGACAGAGACCAGATCCAGCGCACTCTCATCATCATCAATATTATCACTGGGGTTAAGTTGCCACTGCCGCTGCGTCCGCTGCTGCTGCTGCTCGTGCAGCGGCTGCATTGGATGACGTAATGCGATTGGGCGATGAGGTCGATCGGCAGGCGACGACGACATATTGACCGGGCTCAGCAGCCACCAGGACTTGTAGTACCACGCCGCGGCCTTGGGGAAACCGGCCAGGTCTATGGCACCGAACGAGCTGGAACGATGCGGCCAGCCAAACGCCGGTTCGCCGTAGTAGTCGAACAGCGTCCAGACGAGCAGGCCGGAGACGAACTTACGCGACATCTCCACACCCGTTTGTCCCTCCAGGCAGTCCCCGTTGAAGTTGCTAAGCAACTCGGCGCTGCCATTGCCCACGTCCTCTCCCCGCTGCGTGGTGCACGAACAACACTCGGATCCGATCACCGGACGGTCCGGGTGGTCCTTGTGGAAGCTGTCGAATCGCTGGCCGCCCTGATGCGAGAAGCCTTGCACCTCAATGACGTCGCTAAGCTTACCCGGTCCGTAGTCGAACATGTTGCCAGTGACGGGCCGCGTCGTGTCCTCTTCCTTGGAGACGGCACGGAAGATGGCGCCCACGGCCGCGTTCTGGCTCTCGCACCCGGCCTCGTTGCAGAACGACCAGCACATGACGCTCGGGTGGTGGCGGTCGCGCTTCACCATGCTCCGCTGGTTGTCGACGTCGTACGTCGTGTTGTAGAAGTCACGGTTCTCGTCCCACACCACGATGCCGACGCGGTCCAGAATGTCCAGCAGGGCTGGGACCGGAGGGTTATGAGACATTCGCCAGCTGTTGCCGCCGACAGCCTTCATGGTCTGCGCCCGGTAGAGGTTGATTCGCTCCGGCACGGCCACGCCGACTCCGGCAAAGTCGTTGTGATCGCAGAAGCCACGCCACTTGTACGCCTGCCCGTTCAGGTAGAAGCCGGAGTCGGACGTCCACTTCGCCTGCCGGAATCCGATCGTCTGTTCTACGTTGTCCAGCGTGGCACCGTCCGTGCCTAGAATGGCAACCTGCAGTTTGTACATGTACGTGCGCTGCGCACTCCACAGCTGCGTCTTTCCGAGCGTCAAGTTTGCCACGGCAACCTTGACACCCGTCCTCGCCGGCAAATCACTGGACGTGGCCATGGAATTCGACGTGACTAGTTTGCCTGCTTCGTCCCAAAGCGCCACGTTGATTGTGTACCTCGCACCGACGAGCGTTTCTGCTGCGTCATTGACGATTTCTACGACGGGTGCCACACTCGCAGCGGATGCGAACAGCCCCTGGGCGGGGTCGGACGCATCGTTCCAGGATATGTCGCCGGTGACGCCCGTCATCGGGTTAAGGCCGTGCGTGACGATGTGCACCTGCGTCGGCGTTCTCACCAGGTAGGCATGGCGATAGATGCCGCCGCCCTCGTACCACCAGCCGGAGCCGCCCGACGCGCTCGCCACCACGGCAACCACGTTCTCGTTCTCCGTGCCGTTCCCGTACAGCAGGCTGGAGATGTTATCGAGACGGACGGAGAAGCTAGTGTAGCCACCACGGTGAATCGGCAATGCAAACTCGCCGTTAAGATAGACCGTGGTCATGTGGAACACGCCCTCAAAGTAAAGCCAGATGCTGCTGTTCGTAGACTTCCACTCCGCCGGCACGTTGAAGTGCTTGCGATACCAGGTGCGGTTGTACGGCAGGTAGCCATGGCTACGCGTGGCGTTCTGGCTGTACGCGCCGCCGATGATGGCGTCGTGAGGCACGTCCACCAGCTGCCATTGGCCGTCGTCATAGCTACGCGACGTCGGCCCGGACTGCGCCGGCGGCGGGTTGATGGTCGTGTTGCGCGCGCCGCTCTGCCACGCCTTATTTGGACTGCACGACTCGCTGGTGCCCACCCAGCACGCCATGGCTGGGTTGTCGGGCTGGCCACCCCACTGCCAGATAGCGCAGCCCACGGTATCACAGCACGATGCTTTGCAACTCTCCAGCGTTTTAGCGCTTGTAGCGAACAGTCCCAAACACTGGTATCCGGTAAGGTTCTTCGGGAAAGTGCAGTTACTGTCCGGGTCAATGCCTGGGTCACCCAGGTGAAATCGCCAGCCGAAGTCGAAGCTCACCTCCTCGCGGCCACCCTTTTTCACCGGCGGCGGCGTGGTCGGGTGTGGTGGCCCGTCGCTATTCATACTGTCCACACTAGTACTATCGGGCTTGGAAAAGTGGGCGGCGTAACCCTGCTCCACTACGAGTGCTGCCACAGCTAGCCACAGCAGCAGCGTGGGCAGCCCAGGTCCGCGCTGCCAAACCATTGTAGACGACGATCAATCAACAGCTCGCCTGGATGTGTGCGAGGTTCGTAATCAGTCAGTCAAGCGAACCGATAGGCAGTAATCTTCTGCGACGTTTTCACTGCACCTTTTACGTTCTCGCTAGTCGGAAAAGAAGTTCAAGTGAAGATAGCCGAACATGCCGTGTAGTGTTTACCAGTGAAGATTTGCCAGTGGTTGCTGTCTCGGGAAGAGTTTGCAAGACGCGTTTTCGCTCTATCTGTTTCGAGCGACGAGCAGCGTTTCTGCCACTTTTTCGTCGGCTGAGGATCACGTGAAACTTCACGTACACCTGTAGCTAGCTGTGACAGTGTCCGTTTTCCTCTGATTTTGCACCACGATTTTTTTATAGCGAAGGAACACCATGATGTACAACGATTATGATTGTAATTTGTAGCAGACACACCGTGACATGTACGGCACATGTCGAATGTAGTATTCTTGTTGCCAATTAGAATAATTGATACAAACCTGTGCCTGCCGCAGACCCACGCTGGACGCTGGACTGCAGACTCCTTTATGGCCGACCGTGACAGGGTTGAGCATCGTGCCAATGTGCAATACTGGCAACATAGACATTATACATGTAGTTATGGACTCAGATGGAGAGCCAAGGTAAAATTTATACAAAAGAGAAAGAACTTGTGGTTCATTGGTCTTTCTCTTTTTTACATGTAGTTATGTTCGCTTATGACTGTAGCCGTGATAGACACGCTGCGATAGACACTGGTCGAAAACGTGCACTCACGAAGTAGATCTACTCTAGCTCTGTAGTCGATCCATCCACACTCTGTCGTCACTACCCGGACTCTGGGTCTACTCTGCTACGGGTAGTGACTAGTCTCTCGGATCGCAGACTCCGCGGTCACATCATGGTCATGACATGGCCTCTCGCTTCTTGACAGTAGCGATGCAGATAGGCCTAGATAGATACAATGCCATGTAGCTATGAACGGAATGTTGACTTGAACAGTTGAAGCCAGTGAAAATCGATCAGTCCCTTTTCAGCGAAAGAAAGTGGAACTGAGTGGAGCCTACTGTACCACTTCGGCACAGCAAAACAAAGCGACAAGTTCGTGCGAGTCTTGTTTAGTGTGAACAAAATCGCTGCCAGGCTGCAGGAAGGCCTCCATTCGCTGGTATAGCGCGTAGTGAGTGGTAAAAGCATAATATATAGGGATGTGCCGTTGTGCCGTGGATGTGTTGAAGGGGTTTATGGTGGCTGTCATTGCGGCTACGCTGCTGGGTCGGTTCGAAGGATCCGCTGGGCAAGCACCTCCACTAGTAGCTGGCGACTGTCGCGCAGCCAATGGCAGCGTTTTCCAGAGCTTCGCCAATGTGATCGATGCCGACGCCCTGGGTGGCCCAGGTAGGTGACTACTAGTACTAGATGTACGAATATACTTGAAGTCCAATTCATTGCTACGAACTGGCTTCTCATCATATTGGGCAGACATTTCCGTTTGATTTCCGATGCTAACAAATGCAACACCGAAAACAATGAGTGTACGTTCATGCACAGACACCACCCGGCATAGGTCAAAGATCAGAGTTGCCCATTGCTACTTGGGCTCATGCCACGGCTTGGTGCATTGTGTGGATCGACGGGGAGGATCTTCATGACCTGCTACTGTGCCGTATTGCATAAATCGCTAGGTTGTGGACATTGAAATCCGTTGAGAGAAGTCAAGCGGACACATGCGCTAGCCGTGAACACAACTGGTTAGGGGTGTGCGGATAATGCTGGAAAAGTTGGCAGATTCTGCTCGAAAAGCAGTGAAATTGGTAGAACCATACAAACTTTATGGTGGGCAATTCCTCGAATTCTGCTCCATTTCTTTATCCACATACCAAACGTGCATGAAAGTTGATGAAACTCACTAGAAAAAGTACCTCTGCCAATTTTTCTGCCGGCATTATCCGCATATGCCTACTACTGGTCCATTTTCACTGTGTCACAGTGTGTGTACGTGCTAAGCAAGTCACACAGTAAGGATGCTGGCCGCGGTCATTCCACTGGGTTTCTATGTCCACACAGAGGCACCTAGAACCACACAGTGACACTATGAATGGTCATTGAGACCGACCCACACACAGGGTGGTTATCCAGAACCTTGGGAGGCAGGGGGAGTGCATACAAAACTGCATACTTACAGCCAATGAACACGGTGCCCAACCAGGGACTGCCTAGTGTTGCACCCTAGATCTGCATGCTCTGGTGGACATTGCGACTTTTCGAGAAATACAGTGGGTGCGTTCGATTCCTATCATGAATGGAATCTCGCCGTTCGGTTTCATGTCATGAGCCCCGAATAGGTTCGGAATCCATTCACCCTATTCGCATGGGGTGATGTGAATAGCCAGGGGCGATTCATGAATGGATTCAACATTGACTTACAGGCATAATTGAACGCACTCAGCGGAACTCTGTAAAGGGATATGCGCCTGTGGGCAGCAGAAATGGGCACAGTGAAACCTGTTGCGGCCGGACCCTGTAGCAAACGGAATCCTGTATTGGCCGGGAAAATTGTCATGCACCAAAGTGCTGTGGATCAAACGTTCATCCGTTGATCAAGCCGAATCCTGTCATATCAGGACAGTTTCCGCTGCACCAAGGACGTCCGGTCAGGGCATGTTTTACTGCATTTCTTATCAGGGTATATATAGGTGAATTCCACTGAAAGGTGTAGCTATGTTGAACTGGGGGGGGGGGGGCTAGGGTCCTGGGACTGAAATTGAATAAAAAATCAGCTTCTAGTTACTGTAAAAGCCATTATTCTAACGAGGCGCATATATAACGATTTCCCAAATTGATTAGTTTATGTGTACCAAAGGTAACGATTCTCTCTCTTTCTCAACGCTCAATAGAACAGTACATGTATAGATTTCTGCATAACGATTTCTATTTTAACGACAGATTTCTCCTCGTTAACTCGTTAGAGTTAGCACTTCGTTATATTAAATGGCTTTTACAGTACATGTACAAACAGCACAAGTCTAGGTCACGAATGCTCTGAATATGAAATGTTTCTATCTCGTTCATTTGTGGCTCTGCTCAGTACTGAACTCATCATCGTTGCTGGACGTTGAGTTTCTGATCTACCAGAACAACACGTATGCATTCCCGTCATGGCTGAAGTTGATCCCTGGCAGCTCCAGTAGCAGTAGCAGTGGTGGCACTAGCCAGCTGACAGCATCATCCGCACCGGATCATGTCATAGTGTACGGCACACCGGCTTACATCGATGGCAACTCCATGCTCAATCTGCAGGTAAAGTCCAAGGCTGTGTGTGGAATGTTGATCAGTGTCATTCTGATCTCAGTATGATAAGTATGATACATGGAAGATGAACCGGGTTATATTTTTGCCACAGTTATGTCCTGTTGGGTAATCTCTCTCTCTCTCTCTCTTTCTCTCTCTCTCTCTCTCTCTCTCTCTCTCTCTCTCTCTCTCTCTCTCTCTCTCTCTCTCTCTCTCTCTCTCTCTCTCTCTCTCTCTCTCTCTCTCTCTCTCTCTCTCTCTCTCTCTCTCTCTCTCTCTCTCTCTCTCTCTCTCTCTCTCTCTCTCTCTCTCTCTCTCTCTCTCTCTCTCTCTCTCTCTCTCTCTCTCTCTCTCTCTATCTCTCTCTCTCTCTCTCTCTTGAGTACTTCCAACACACACATGCAGACCAGGATCGTGCCACTTCGTACGAATCCTGCCCCAGTGCAGGGAAGCCCCGGGATTGCACCCACCCAGTCGATGAGGGGACCCCTACATGGACTGAATTTCAGAATGTTTTGAAGAAGTGTCGCAACACCTCTGCACCGGGTCCTGACAAGATACCTTACATAGTTTGGAAGCTTTGTCCCTCCCTTCAAATCCATTCTTTTCACCATCTTTGGGCGGGTTTGGGAGAGCAAGATCATTCCAAGGCAGTGGCAGGTAGCGTGTATCACACTCCTGGCCAAGGGGGAGGTGTCTGATCATCCTTCGAAATTCCGACCGATTGCTCTAGCAAACACGTCCGGGAAGATCTTTTTCACCTTAGTTGCAAAGC